ATGCATCAAAAGGGCGTTTAAAAATAGATTTCTCCCATATTCGGTGTACAGTGTGTAACTGTCCTACATCTGAACTTAACAGCTTGACATTAATATTTCTGTACTCATTAAAACGTCGCTATTTTTAACCATGCTGGGTTGTTGTTAATCTGTTGTGATCACGTGGTCCAGTTGACAGTTGACGTAGTATTTTGCGCGGGAATTCTTACGAAGTACCAGGGTTTCATTTTGTTTTCAATTTGCTTATTTAGTTACTTTTGTTTACTATTAACCTTACCAACAATTCGATCCGCAAAATTTTACATAATCGGACAGCGTGTAATCAAGTTGGCTATGGCGCGTTGCGACGTGGCCAGCTAGATGCGGACCATGACGTCATGAGGTCAATTGACAAAATTGAAACGAAAAGATTTCTTATCGACGAATTATTTATTATTGTTATGATATTTTCTAAACTGATCAGCTACGTCACTTTTTTAATTGCCTAATTTCCAGTCTATTCATTCAGGTCCCAGGAACTAAAAACAATAGGTAACAAGTCTTCTATAGCATATGTTTATTAAAATCTTAATATTAATCTAAATATTTTGGAAATAGTTATTAAATTCTTAACATATTATATGATAAATATATCGAAAGACTATATCGAAAACCAAATATTCTTTTTAAGAAAACCCAACTAAACAGTAATCAAATTTCAGAATGCTGTTTACCTATTTATCTAAAAAGAATTAATAGAATAATAACTAGTTGCGCTACAAACCCCTAAGGTCTGGGCCTCTAATTTCTGTATGTGTTTTCTGATTATTAGGTTTATTTAATAGGCAAATAGGCGGCTCAGAAGGCTGATCTGAGCCTTCGACTCTTTGGGTGAGGCATACGAGTTTCCTCACGATGTTTTCCTTCACCGTACGAGCAAGTGTTCAATCCGCACGTAGTCCATTGGAGCACAGCTGGGGTCGGAACCTACAACCTCAAGGATGAGAGTCGCACGGTGAAACTGAAATTAATGGAACAGAAGCAAAAATGTTCCTGCCTCATGCATTGGGGGACAAACAAAAGCTACAACAGATAAAGAAACGTTTATTTCTCTCCATCAGACGGATTGGAGATACCGCCCTTCTACAGTTTTAATTTCGGTTCTCTGAAAGCACCTTTGTTCTTCAAACATGACCCCGTTTGCGACTAAAACAAAAGCATTTGCAAATCAATTTTGGATTTTAAACGTTTTTCTACATGCTCTGTATATTACTGTTATTTTCTGATACCAGGCTTTGTCTCATATAAGGTTATACGGTGTTCTCAGATACCTAAATTGTATGTAAATATGTAAATAGGAACCTAAAAATAAGTAAACTTTACAGATAAAATTTATTGTTTACGAACACTTCAAACTGAACAGGATACAATTCGTGTTAATAAAGCCTATAACAATTTCATATTGATAGTATCTTACAAATATTCCGACCTGTTTTTATCAAACCACGCTTTCACTTGGTATTTATAATGTTCATCCACCTCCATCCATAGCACCCTAACACATTTTGATATTTTAATGCCCTTTACTGGTAATAAATTGTGTACTCGTTCGTGAAAGTACATCGTATTACTGCCTTCTCTCAAAAGGGGCTTTTAACTGATTGGCCGTATCGATCTACGCAGATATTTTTCTAATATGCTGAAAAATACTGCAGTAAATCGCAAAACGCTGTCGAAGGCTCTGGCTTCATGTTCTTATTTATCTTAAGGAATTCTCATTGGTTGCTGGGACAGTTTATCACAATATTTTGCTATGTATTCGTATAGCAATTACTTTTCTTTAAGTTAAAATTGGGATTTTTTATACCGAATATTACAAGATGCTCGGACTTTAATTTTTAAAGGGGGAATGCGTTTGCGCATCTCCGCAGCAGTGCCTTACTTTAAACCACATTGGCAATACAATTAATTTGCCTAGGATGTTTCTAAAACCACCGCCTTTATAGCACATGTAATCCCTTAAAACTCTCCGTAAATGAATAATATAAATATTGCCCTCTCCAGAAAGATTTTAGTGCAAGGGCATCATTGTCCGAGGGTAGGCAGGGATCCGCGGGCCAGTTGAAGTAGGTACAGAGGAAATTCATCGTGGTCTTGACTATACAATAAATGAAACATGGTAACATAACAACTAATAAGTTATATTTGTCAATAAAAATATATCCATTCTCGTAACAACTCCTTATAATACCGTAGTATAGCTTCAAACAGCTTAAGCTATTGAATATTCGTATAGCAATTACTTTTCTTTAAGTTAAAATTGGGATTTTTTATACCGAATATTACAAGATGCTCGGACTTTAATTTTTAAAGGGGGAATGCGTTTGCGCATCTCCGCAGCAGTGCCTTACTTTAAACCACATTGGCAATACAATTAATTTGCCTAGGATGTTTCTAAAACCACCGCCTTTATAGCACAATATGTAATCCCTTAAAACTCTCCGTAAATGAATAATATAAATATTGCCCTCTCCAGAAAGATTTTAGTGCAAGGGCATCATTGTCCGAGGGTAGGCAGGGATCCGCGGGCCAGTTGAAGTAGGTACAGAGGAAATTCATCGTGGTCTTGACTATACAATAAATGAAACATGGTAACATAACAACTAATAAGTTATATTTGTCAATAAAAATATATCCATTCTCGTAACAACTCCTTATAATACCGTAGTATAGCTTCAAACAGCTTAAGCTATTGAATTGTCGGTCCTTGGCAGCTTTGTAAGAAGACATTACGTTTATAAACTGAACCTATATAGATTTTTTTTTCATTGCGTTGAATTTTCATATCATTAAAACCTACATAGTTAAATTTCATCAATAATATTGCAGTTCAGATTATAACACCAGTGTAAATTCAATCTTCTTCAGCTTAGAGTTAATGAAGTCGACGATTTGCTTCGGGCTAAGCTTATTAGTCAACGAACCAACCGTCGACTCATTTCGCTCATAAACTGGCGAAGAAAATCATATATTGTAAATTATATATTGTATAACAAGATAATGGGTTCTCTATCTTGAACACACATTATAATATGGAAGTGTGTTTGAACACCCGGTTTCGATGAGTTCTCCTTCTTCGTTTTTTTTAAGTTGGTTAAAGTCAAGTCAAGTCAAAATAATTTTATTCATGTAGGTAAACAAGTACACTTATGAACGTCAGAAAAACAGTTAAATTAATTCTAAATTTATATTTATTACCAGTTCGCAAGTCAAGGGAGTAGAGCGGGCTAGAAGAACTGGCAATAAACTTTCCGCCAATCTTTTTTAATCGCTAAGTTTTGAATCATACAAATTGTTTGAACTGGAGCAATTCAATCCCAAGGATCATTAAAATATTCGTCCAATTTATAAAAAGCTTCATATATTAATTAAAGTTAATTTGGTATCATGTCCGTAGGTGAGATTTATGGTGGTAACTTAAAAAAAGAATGAAGAATTATCACATTAATCACCCCGGAAAAAGTAAATAAAAACATGTTTTTTTTATTCCAACCAAGATTGTTGAAAATATTCAAGTGACTGAATTCGTCAATCAATTGATTAAATAATATACAATAAAACGACCGACGACGACGATATCACATGCGTTAGCATTTTTAAACGTTAAAATTTTTGCATATTATATTTAAATCTCTATCTAATTCTATTCTAATTATATTCTAATTCACAAGATAAAATTTTATCATCTGACAAAGTAATTTCTTCAGACAACTGTCATGTTAAGAGCTATTGTGCTAAGTATTAATCCTTCTTTAATTATTGTAACAATAGGATTATTGTTATGCGCATTATTATTTATTATTGCTACTATATTCAATAATAATAAAATAAATCTTGTGTGCTCATGTGATTTTAATTAAATTATATAGTAAACGGGATCGTTTATTACATATTTACTATTTCCTTTCGAAAATCTATTTGCCCTTCAGAAACAATGAAATTTAATAGTTAACCTTTGAACTTCAATTTCGGGTCTATTCGAGCCCTTTCATAGGTTTTCGATCAAACCTCAATAGGTGATTCGTATCTGTGACATGGGAAGTGGTACGAGGTTTCACCGTCTTGAGGCTTTTGTACGGGAATTAACAGCTTTTGTCCTTGTCAAACAGGTACTATGCTTTCTAAAGTGTCGGAAACTGGTCCACGTTTAAAATTCATTTTTAATAACCGAATTGTAAATTAGCTTTTGCTAGCGTATACTACCAACTTATTGTCTCAATAGCCGCAGATCGTGTTTTCAATTACGTTTGAGATAATATTGATTACAAGGACCTATTACCTATGTTTCCTCATAAATTAAACCGACGTAGACATCTACTATTTTATATTATATATATTTTTTACCCCTCCTATGCTGTGCGATTAAACTTGTTTATAAATAATAAAGATATATACATTAAAATTGTGTATTTAGCCTTGAAAATATGTTACTAATACACTTTTGTAGAATACTCAATTACTCATTCAACATTGAAACAGCTAAGTGGTCACAAATAGAAGTATTACCATAAGGATGCAGACAATCATCTTATTCATTCTATTTTTAGACATAAATACGAAAGTATAGTAACAAATGATATATATAACTGGAACTTGTATAACACTGCAAAATTAAAATGTATCGTTCGTGTAAACACCACCTACACAGACTTCTTAGTTTAATCAACTATTTTCTATGAGTAAGCCTTTAAATAGGTCTTGCCGTTTGGTGCCGTTCTGGCAGCATTGAAAATTTATTATTTTTCCTGTACCCTCATCCCATAACAATACTTTTACATGTGTTTTGAATATTTATTTAATGTAAATTATCTTGTTCCAGGTGGTAACGTGAAAATGAACGCGGTATATAACCTAAGGTCTATTAAAAAAGCAATAAATTAACCCCGTAGAAAGTGCTAAAGTTCTTCCATGGACAAAATGATAGATTCGTGTGCGAAGTGTGTGTAAAGAATGGTGCGAAGATGCCGCAGCGAGCGCCGACCACGTCAACTTTGATGCGCCCTTTTGTGGTGTTAGCCCTGCCCGGGATGTATCTACTGTACAAGTACAACCAGTATCGACAACAGCAAATGGAGACTGCCAGGCGCCGCGTTACTGAACGGGAGCTTTTGCATCTCAATACCAAAATTGTAAGTAACAGTAGTTTCAAGAATAATATTAGCCCCGCAGCGGAACTTAGCTGCTCACCTCCACGTATCGGCCAGCGCTAGACTTACGTGACGCTGCCTATACTATACGCACCACCGTCACCTATCGTGTATTATCAGTCGTAAACAAACTTTGAAACTTTCAAGACTTTCAAGAAAAGCGTTATGTGTTTAGAATAATTTACCTATTAATAGTTATATAATTAGAAATTATTGTAATTGGTTAAATCTGTTTTTTTTCTATTCTCTCCCTACAAAGAAAGAAAATCGGGCCTTTGAAATTCGTTATAAAGAGTATACACTGTATTTAATTTTCCGTGGTCGGTGAAAGGTCGCGCGTGTAATTTAAGTAGGAAAAAAATAAAAATTGTCTTTTGCGCATCTAATGACATCTAGTGAACCTTCTTGGGTACCCATTCTTAAAATGTCAGCAATGAACTCGCAAGCCTTCAGGCATGGCAGTGTCCATGGGCGGCAGTATCACTTAACATCCTGACGAACTTATTTGTCGAACTACGATACCTTTTAAATAGGTAATTCTTGTTATAAGATCCTTCTTAAGCATAATAAAAATCGAGTGTACACGTGAACTTTACATAAAAAGAAATGTTTATTTAAAATAGTTGCTATAATATAATAACGTATTGGCGGTCGCTACAAGTATGCGAAACAAATCCATCCATATTGATTAGACTTCTACGTGCAAGGCCTTCGTAAAATATGTTATATATTTCTTTTATTATAAAGCTTATACTAACGTAGTATGAAGTATTCATACGTGAGGTAGTTTAGTATTGTTACATGTTATTTTGTGACGACTGCAATCTGGATCAGACTGGCGATTTGTTACCGTAATAATTTGCCAAGCGGATGATAATTTAACTTCGTATTTTCTGTCCTTCAACCCTGGAATAAGGTAGAGCGTGACCTTGGTGTTTTTAATTGTAACATTGTGAATTATGTAAATCATCTCCTTTTGTTTATTGAATAATGTCATCGTGCATCCATCAAGGATGCTAGTAAAGGATTAAATTTTTTAGAAGAAACAGAGTGAATATGAGGTGATTAGGTTTTTACAGTCAAGGTGCTTTTATAGCGTGGGCGAATATTTGGCCTATAAGTTTGACAACAATTAATTATAAATAGCTTGACTTATTATTATGAAAATGTTCTTATTATATGACTTAATGAAAATTAATGTGACATTTGCCTATTTTTGTGTGGCTGATTGTGTGGATTTTTATAATTGATCGATGTAAATGTACCACTTTCTTGCAAATAAATGATTTATTATTATTATTATTATGTTATGCTGAAAATTTCATAATATTCTTGACACTACATCTTAGTCTGTGTTTAAGTTTTGCGTCATACTTCTACAGTACACTACAGTACGTATAGTTACTATACGTTTGAATAAATAAAAAAACAATATGTACATACAACAGTCATAGATATTAAGCACTTACGACAAAGATAGCCTAATCCCGTCTGAATAGGGGCGCAATTCCACAATTTAATAGAAAAAAGAGGAAGCAGACACTTGGCTCGGACACTGACAAATTACTATAGTTAAATTCGTGCGACGAATACATTTCCTCTGCTCATGAAATATGTACAAATCCCAAGTTGTAACTTGCATAATAACCTGTCTAGACACTAAATTTCGTCTTCATTCCTTTTTTACCTGCTTAAGCAGTTTTAGTGTCTGAAACAAGATGTTCTTGTACGTTATTCTGTAACATACGATTGAATAAATGAATTATTTTGTTTTACATAAATGCCTTTGAATTTTTAAATATATTTTAGTCTATATCAAATGCCAGCATAACGATACCACTGTACAAACATAGACGTAGGAATATTGGAAATCTATTTAAACCTTTTCATGGTAACTTCCGAGCTACGGCTACTATGAAAACACATAAATATAATAGCATTGATATTTTTCTTAAGTATGTAAATGTCACCGGAAGATAACAAAATCTGCAAGTTTGGTGACATAAACAAATTTTTCTACCTTCAGAGTTAATACTCTAACTTAATAGTTTGCCAGAAATCGAACCTCTGACGTCAGGGTCACATAAGAGGTGATTTAGCACCGGTAACCTTGTGTATTAAAACCTTATTTTGAATGAAACAACATTGTCGTAGAGAAACTAAGATTAAAATACTGAGCCCTCGCGTTAACAATAGAAGCACTAAAATTATAGCAGTGCCAAGGTAGATCAATGACCAACTTTCACTCTCACGTTGTGTAACCTATATATATAAAAATAAATCAGTATAACTGTTTATAAACATGTTGACATATATACTATTTTATAAATATACAAAACAGCTTTGCCTTATTAGACCTTCTAAACGCCCGCGGTATTCTGATGTCCTAAGTTCGATGTCCAGCAAACAAAAATTATTTCAGTTTGGCGCAAAACGTCTCATTAGTGTTAATTAATAAAATATAATTTCCTCATGTTCCATTGGGGCTTGAGCAGTTAAATATTTCATAACACATTTTCTGTTACATATAGTTATAAACTACAGTGGAAACTTTTGTATTAATTATTTTATTACTTTTTATTTTATTTTAAAGTGCAAATTGTCTCCAGCCGATAGGAACAGATGTATCAAGATACGATGTTAATTAGTGAAAGTTCAAGAGTCAATTAAGCTCGTTCTTTTGTGTTATCTGCTTTATTAATAGATATTCTTTTGTTTTTAAGAGTATCATTATAACGTCTTATGTTAAGTGGCTTAAGTGATACTTAGCTTGAACATCTCTCTAGAGTCCGAACCTAAAGTGTTGTTCTAATTATCAAATTAAATATGTTAGTAATATTGTGAGAAATATATTGACTTAGTAGTTCGTTTGTCTCGCTAAAACTCGAGATTCGCTGGACAAATTTGGTTAATTATGATCTTGAAATATTTGTGGAAGTACAAGGAAGGTTTAAACGGAAAAAATAAATAAAGATAATACTAAAATGACAATTGAGTTTTTCAATAAATACTGTTCCTAGCTGGGAAATATTTAATGTCTATTGTCTTTTTAGAAATAAAAAACAAACGTTTGTTATATATATATTTATAGATGCCTTCTGAATATTGTGTTTCATAGCTGTTGTATTAATATTTAACACAAATATATGTAGGTGATAGGCAGTTCACCGGGTCATATAGTACTAAAACATTATATATAATAGGCCCACAGAGTTTTACGCATATGTTTTATTTATTTAGCTCCATGATTTGGACGCCTATTTTGAGCCCTTTACCGTCTTGATATCTTTTGTGTTATACTAGATAAAAGTTAGTTTAATTTTGTTATATTGCTTGCTGTCGACCTGTATTTATAAATACACATACTATTTCTACCCAATATGAGTATAAAAAACAATCAACATATAAAAACTTTCCGAGAAGAAACAAAAAATTCTTCTTGATTGTCGCTACCTTGTCACGTCATTCCATACAAAATTTCAATAAACCAAGTTCTTATAAATAAAATTTATTAAGAAAACACAGCATAACTAAATTTCAGTCATGTTTTCTTCAGTAGTCAATTCTGGGGCCAAGGAATTATGGTCTGGAGTTGTAGCTTCTTCGAAACTTCTTTTTAATGGTGTGGCTATACAAAGGAGGTATGCGAAAAAGAATGATGGTTGTAGAAGAGCTCATGCCGATATACCAGAGGAACCCTATCCATGTGAACGTAGAAAGAAAAAGAAGCCAGGAATTTTGCATAGAATTAAGTTGAAAATTGTCGAGGGTGGCACTAACTTTGGCAGTAAGTCGCTATTAGTTTTTGCATAGACAACAACGGCGGGAATCTTATCTAAGGACTGTCGCCGTCCATGCCCACCCCAAAGGTGTATAAGTTAGGGCAAGTGACACATCACCTATACGTTTGCCTTTTAAAATATTTAATGGTAAAATTAATCATAGCATAGCCCTCTAGGCAACGGCTACTTACCCTAATTACAATTATACTAATTAGAATGTTACATTACAAATCCTGCTAAACCCGGTTTAATGGAAAATCTTGACCCATTTTCATAAATGGGAAATATGCATGCTGAAATTGCACTCATACCGCATCAACGATGAAAATGCTTATGACATGAAACATGTTTCCATTTAAAACGAACAAAAGGAAAATGCCATTAGCTTTTCATAGAAAAATGCCTTCTAATGCTACCGAGTAATTTTAGGTTAAGAACGAACCGATTTGACGGTTTGCAGGAAGCTTAGTTTGAAAGAACTGCTTTAAATTTTTACAATAAAATTAAAACAAAAATAACCCATTATTTATTGGTGGCTTTAATTTTTTTTTTCCTCGCGATATTTATCAGATCCATATTAAAAATCACATTTTTTATGGCAATAGTAAATGACACTTATTATAAACTGTGAGCAGTGTTAGGTAGTGGCTTCAGCGTGCGTCTCTCATCCCTGAGGTCGTAGGTTCGATCCCCGGCTGTGCACCTATGGACTCTCTTTCTATGTGCGTATTTAACATTTACTCGTACGGTTAAGGAGTGAGAAGGGCATGAGAAGGCGTGAGAAAACTGGCTTGCCTTAGACCCAAAAAAGGTCGACGGCGTGCATCAGGCACAGGAGTCTGATCACCTACTTGCCTACGAGTATTAGATTATCAAATGAATAATGATCATGAAACAGTTACAGAAATCTGAGGCCCAGACCTAAAAAAGGTTGTAGCGCCACTGATTATTATTATTATTATTTTAATTTTAAACAAGCGTCTCTTTACATTTAGCAGCTTGTCTTTTTAATCCGATGAGGAATCAACTCGACCGGCCGAGTAAATGGCCGTTCGCCTGTATTGAGTAAATATTGTATTTGGAAAGATAAATCTTACGCTTTATATAAAGTATTCATGACGTGACGTGAAATTCATAAGGAATAGTTACTTTCATCTTATTAAATTACCGAAAATTATTTATTTTTATGAATTAAGGAAAATATTATGGTTTCGAAATGACCTTACATTAAGTGCAGCTTAGCAGTCGTTTACAGCTCCATTTCGTAACATTAAATGCGAAGAGAAAGTGTGCAAGGAGGTGGTCGTACCAGAACCCAAGGCGCTACCTGCGCCTGTCAAACCGATCCCACCGATGCCACCACCTCGGCCTAGCGTCCAGGTATCGATTCTTGGGGCGGATACGTCTCTAGGACATTATATTGCACTGTTGCTTAAGCAGTGCTCGTGTATAAAGAAGTAAGTTCATACAAAATTATTAGTGTATAATAGGATGGATTCGCCAATCAATAACAGTAGATATTCAGTTCCCTGTATAAAGATATCGTCATAAATTAAAATCATATAAGATTATTATTATTATATTAATGTATTTTATTATTATCCAAGTTTTATATTGAGAGATTTAAATGTTTAATTATAAATTATAAATGTCCAGTTGGATCGCATTTTTAGTTGTTTTTTTAGAAATATGATTCTATCATACCACACCATTAATAAGTCTTAAAAAAATTCTTGACAGAAAGTAAATAATGCACGATTATCCTGGTAACTTAACAAACAAACAATGGAATTCGAACAGATTATGTAATTCGTTTACCTCAAGTGTCCTTTTAGGAAAGAAAGTTTAGGAAAGTGTCGGCAACCCTCGTTCCCAATTATACGCATCATGAAAATATCACATTCATTCCCCATTGGGGATATTCGTCTTCGAAAACTTGAACACAAATATTTACGGATATTTATTTTTAGCACTTTTATAAATTGGCCTTTTTTATATATCGGGGCAAACGGACAGGAGGCTCATCTGGTGTTAAGTGATACCGCCGCCCATGGACACTCATTGCCAGAAGGTTTGCAAGTGCGTTGCCGGCCTTATAAGAATGATACGCTCTTTTCTTAAATAACCCTAAGTCGAAATGAAGAACTAATGTAAAAACTAATATAAAAAAGTTGTAGTCAGTAAATTGTGTATAATATAAATTATAGTTTCTACCTATAATTCGAACTTGTTATTCATTTCTCGCTTCCTCTCAAAGTGGCGAAGACTACTTCAAGCCCTTAATTATCGTGGTGAGCCTGCTCGATAGCTTTGATGCTACCTGTAGGCCTCCGTCTGATACCTTAGGTCGCTTGGTGCAGACATCCCGTACTTATTTATATATTCACTATTTATGTGTTTGGGTACGTCTGTAGGGCTTAGGGATCCGTAGGGTTGTTAGGTTCTTACATCTCAACCTCTCATATATTTAGTTAGTGCAGCTTGCTCATACATACAGATATGTATAGTATATGTAATGTATGTATGAGTCTCCTGACATTCAATACATATAAATTTTAAACACACATTTCACAGTCCACTGGCTAGCAAGCTGTACACATGTCAAACCACGAAACTTACTTCAACTCGAATTCTTTCCATCCATATGTCTGATTTACGCATCACACGATATAAATAAATAAAATCCTACTTCATAACAATGCACGAACCTCGTAATAGCATCAAATATTTACTTAAACAAGAGACATGCCATAATGCCAACCATTCACAAGAACGTAATAAAATATTTTACGATTCCACCCGGACTAGTAGTCCTTTTTATTGCCAGATTTGATGCCCACTACGCAGTCCATTACGATGCAGTATTGATTGCGTAGTTAATCAGTTTATTATCTCACATATCACCTTTATTACATCTTACTTTACTTTTGCATTAGCAGAGACGACATACACTTTTTCTCAGTGCTTGGTTACCAGTTAACTTATAAATTTGTTTATTATTATGTGTCAAGCGTTTGCTGTTCTATCAACCATATTTTCGTAAATAATAGTCCGTGTAACGATTAAATATTAAGATTGAGTCTAATAAAAAAAACAATTCTTACACTAACTTGACAATCACATTTTTGCATTTCAAAGATTATTTTTTTAAATTCACTATACGTTTACAGATTGCGTTTATACGAAGCAAATGAACCGAACGAATCATGCAACCGCAATATTTTTCAAGTGGTAGAGGATCTGAGGCATATCAATACGAATTGCTTTGTCGAAGCTTTTAGCTGCACTTGCAATGAACTAGAGAGATGTCTACAGGTATTAAAGTGTAGTTTCATGATATGGGCCGTACATATAAAAAGTAGATTTCCTTTAAATAAATCGAGTACATTTGCCCAGACAAGTTAATACTCCAGATCGATTAATGAAGTTAAAGAACATTTTCCGTAATTGAAATATTGTGAGGTACTTACTGATCCGATGGTAACTTTTGATAATTCAAAAGTACATTACAAAGTTTTAATATCTCACGGCATATCAATTATCTTAATCTTAGTATTTCATGAGCAAGTGAGCTTGCTTACTGCTTTTATTCTGAAGGATTGATATTGTCCGTCATACTTCGTCTAGATAACGTATGATAAGGCTGGTATAATTTGTTTAAACTTCGATTCTCCGTAACTTTCGTTAGTAAATGCATTTATTGAGGAAGAATAGCTAGCATGAAGCCAATATAAAAGAAATGTTGATGCCCATAAAGGGTTGTAAAACTTCTTAGATTATTTAATTATCACAGCAACATTCACATAAATTCTACTCTACGTACTCTATATTACGTTGCACGTGTTAACACGAAATTTGCATATCTCCATGAGAGCACTCCACCACGCTCTAGGCTACAAACTTGCCCTATTTAACTTCAACTGCCAATTAATATGCCGATTAAATGTTTGCTGCACGAAAGTTAAAAGCTATATCGAAGATTTAAAATGCAAAAAAACAAATGACGTTCGCAATATTTGATGTACGTAAATATCATAAGTTTTATTAAATCTCTGTATCGTTATAACGTGTTTTATTCTGTGATAATAAAACGTGGTGTCAGCGATTTCAATATTTGTAACAGTTAACCTTTATCGTAATAGTGGTTACGTTCATCACTAATTAATAATTTGAAAATTCAGAGAAGAGCTGCAATAAAATTTCAGTGTCAGACAAATCAAAATAACCTCAAACAAATTTTCATTGTTATTACGGATATTTTAGACTAATGCTGTTTATAATATAAAATCAAACACGTTACCATGTGTTATGTATGTGATGACGAAGATTTTCATATACATAAGTTTAATATGTACCATTTCATTTGTCGCTCAAAACTCTGTAGTACGTTATATAAATACCCCTTATATAACACATGTATATATAACAAAAGAGAAGCTTTTTAATATCTACTACCTACTCGAGTTTATATATTTTCAAAATATACAAAACTGTTACAGATGTTTCATAAAGCCTTTCGAAATTCACATTTTATTGTTGTAATGTTGCATCCTACAAAAAATGCATGTTTGAATAATGTTCGGATTGAATAAGCGGTCATACACCACTGATATTAATCAATAAATGTTACCCCATCTTGCTAATTTCAATTTTATGGCTACGCTTCCTTTTTAAATATACCTTTCTTGCGTCGTCCCTCATAAACTACATAATAATTTAAGTATCTGACTGGTTGGTGAACATAGAAAATATTTTAGAATCATTGTTTTAATGATTTTAAGAATGTTCTATATTTTTTTTCTTTCATTTTGGCGACTATTTAAACATATAAAAGAACCATGCATGCCGTAAAGCATTCTACACATCGGGAAAGTTAAATTTTAAATATAAAATATTTTTACAATTGGCACAAACTCATTTAATTGTATGTAAAGTACATCTTCTTTTACGTAAATTATTCATTTATATGCTAAAACGTGTGCGTCGCAATTGATACTTTAAACAATTTTTCTACGGTTTCAGCCGCGTTAAAACAGTCGTAGCGTTATCCTATAACCTACAAGGAGAAGTTTTGTTCATGTCGAAGCAGTAGTTCCTGGGATAAGCTCTTCCAACGAAACTGATAAACTCTTTAGCTTTATAATAATAAGCATGTATATCTACTATATTCATATTATACCTGTACGTGTTCATTCTAGTAGCAGATAAATCAAATGACCTAATATTAATCCATATTCGACTTGCGTAAAACAGAGCGTCAGTGACGCCAATCTGTCTGGCTTATTGAAATTCCCATAAGGCGGATCGAGTTTCCGCTTGTCATCCAAAATATAGCTGGTTTTCTGGCTGGTTAATATCTCCCATATTTTGTTCATTTATATATATAGCTAATAATAGCTGACCCGGCAAATTATGTTTTGCCATGTATATTATTTCTAGGAAACATTTTTTTAGTTCAATAACTATCTACAATAATAAAAAATCGGGGTTGAACGTAGAGGGTTGAAAATTAGGGGTTGTATGTATTTTTGTATGTTGTATCATAAAAATTAAAACAAAAGAAATTGTCTAAAAAATAAAAAATAAATTTTGGGCTGGACAGTGGACACCCCTTATCATGTTGGGGTTTGAAAGATAGTAGGCGATTCTCAGACTTACTGAATATGCATAAAACATTTCATAAGAATCGGTTGAGCTGTTTTGGAGGAGTATGGGAACGAACATTGTGAACACCAGAATTTTAAATATTAGATTTTATTTACTTGAATTACTTAATAACGTACATTGTCTTGGCCACAGCTTATATACAACACGTACGTAATCGGAATATTCGATTTATACCCTTTTAATAAAATGGTTTATTAAATAACTAGCCGTTTCGCGCCCGCTTTGCTGGACGAATTAAAATAAATTTTATGTTTCATTATTTTATTTTTTTTCATATTTTTATTATTCTTCTTTTTAACTTCCCGCCAAGAAAATTGAAATATTTCGAAAATCGAGTTTTTAACAGATGTTGACGTTTAGAGGTTCTAGGAAGCCTCCCCGAATGTTTCCGCGGTGAAGTCCGTATGAATAAATTTTCATAAAAGTAAAACAGCAATAAAAAATGAAGGAACGTTGGAATTTAAATAAATAGCCATAAACCATCTAGGAAAAATTTCGCATCGAATGGTGGTAGTTTCATGTCGATACGATCAGTGGTTTAGGCGTGAAGGAGCCTCAAACGAAGACCATTTTCCTTTTATATATATAGATAGATCTATCAAATTATGTTGTGATGAAAGAAGATATCAGTACTTTAGTACCTAATAAAGTAAGATTTTATAAAAAAAGTGTTGAATTTCAGTATATCGTCTATTCTGCCAATCGAACAGTTAGTATGCATTCGATCAAACTCCAATTATGACGATGCACCTAGTCACCAAAGTCTATTTCCAGTTTGAAACACCAAAACACATAGGCTGAGATACGATAAAATAAGGTGTCAGCTACTTTTATCGATTTAGTTTGCACAGCTTTTGTTAGTATTTCATTACTACAGTGAAATCAAAATGAAGTTGATTGATGTATTCGATATTATTTTACAAGCAATTTATTATTTTTGTATATGTGCTACTATTATACAAGAAGTCATTTTTCGATGCATTTTGGACGAGTTTCGTCAAGATTTGCAAATATCTCGAGTTGGAAAATTGTTGAGCTTGAGCTTAGGAGCGATTAAAAAGGCTTTCATTGGCTCCCACGCGATGGCGCACCCTTGCCACTTGCTAAGTGTTATTGACCCTTAATGGTGCTAATGTTTTCACGTATAAAAATCATTTAAACAAAACGTACGCCCTGAATTTTTCGCACATGACATCGACATTATTTTGATTTTATTCTTAAATCTCTTAACCACGTTGCTTCTATTACGAGCTTAAAATACAAAGAAAGTTAAAATTTAATTCCTAAGAAAAGCAAATATGTTCGTATTTCGTTATTGTTATTTAGCTGCTACGGAGTCGATCTGGACAATTTTTATAATAGCTTTTGAATAATCAGTTTAATTATTTTATGGTTATATACATTTGAATACAGACAAAAAAGATAAAAACTGAGCATGTCCACTTATTTATGTATATGTACAGAAATAAAATCTAAAAGCTTTTTTTGTGAAGCGAAACACGTGTACATATTGATTATTTAATTAAATGACACACGTTTCATTCCATTTTATTTTATTTCTAGAATTCCGATATTGTCCTCATGTTGGAAAACGGTTACCTAAGCCAAGATATGCCTATGGAAACAAGATTTGCGTACAGTGCTCCTCTTGTCAAACGTTACACTGACGTTATTGCAAATGAATGTCCTAAAGCATTTATAATTGTGTGTGCTACGCCTGTTGATTGCATGGTACCATTAGTTTCCGAGGTATTTAAATACAATTTTTAACCATTTACATTTTGTAAGTTAATATATGTAAGACCTTTAAAGCTATAGACTTACGTTATGCTGTTGTTACGTACGTTATTTGTATTTACCCACTTCATAGAGATCTGTACAAACTTGGGCCTTAGAGCGATCAATCTGTTCCGATAACAGAGTTGTTGTGTAAAGTATGCCATTTTGTCGATGCTATCGTAATCGGATCGCCTCTTCTAGATATAGTGATGTTATCATTTTGTTTTATCCAGCAAAAGCATTATAGTTATTAGTTTTAAAACATTATTTTTATACTAATTAATAAAGTTACTGTTCATTTACCGTGGTTCATCTGAAGCAGCGGCTTACAGTGAACTTGTTGTTCGTGCAATCGTTAGATCTTGAAGTTAACGTACAATTTTCAGACATTAAAAGAAACGGGGTGGTATGATCCAAGGAAAGTGTTGGGTTCTGTGGCCGTACCGGAAATGCGTGCGACCACGCTCGCCGCCCGCGCCTTAAGCCTAGAACCAAGTTACGTGAGAGTGCCTTGCGTCGGCGGAACCGAAGGAAATGCCTTAGTGCCTTTGTTTTCTAAAGCAGTGCAATATTTTAACTTTAGTGAGGTAGTTGAAATTATATTTACAATGAAGTGTTCAAGTAGACTTTCGGGTTAACTGGATAAGCTAAATAAGAGAAAAAGTCAATATATACCTATTAAAACAAAACCTACACATATTTGTAAATTAACGTACAATATAGGCTATAAATGCTACGTTATTAACACATACCAATTTTCTGATTAATTGCTGTAAAAACCCGTTCTTCATATAAAAGAAATATAAAAGAATTATAAAGTTATTTTTTTAGAGCAATACATTGATGATGACCAAAACAGTACGTGAAGCGCCTAGTGCAATTGCTCGTTCTGATGGAGAATGTAAAAAAGCCGCCGAATTGAGTGAAGCCCATGCTTTAGCTAATCTAGTTACTAAAGTAGCATGGGCATTACTATGTAAAGACGTACCAAGGGTCAGTGGTTTCGTCGAAACAGATGCTAGACAAGTTATTTCCCCGGCAAGGTAACCTATATATTATAAATAATTGGGCCAAACAAAAATTAGGTCAAAATATTTGAACGCTCATTTTTGAGCTCTAATTAAATATTATTTATTAAACTTTTTCTGATCTTGCCAAAATTATTATTATTATTTTGACTGAATAAAATCACTCCAATATATTTGTATCCATAATTGCGACTATAATAGCAGGTTTATCTTCAGATTTATCGCTAACACAGTCGAAATAATAGACAAGGGGATTTTGAAGAGTCTTGGTCTTCCCCAAATGTCAGATACCGAGGTTACTCTGCTTAATCTAGCGTTAAATGAATTACGTTATCGGCAAGGAATGGTAGAGGATTGGTACACAAAGTATTGCAGTTCAACCTGCAGGCTGGACACTTGCCAAACGCAGTTTTACGCTCCCAAGGAGTTCCACCGTTTTGATGATTGTGCTTATGCAAACATTTGATATTTGTTTTCGTCGTCGTACCATTTTGTTCGTTGCGTTCGTTATTAAATTATTGTTTTAGTCTGAATCCGTTTTATTCCATCATCTTTTCCATTCGGTTTTAAATTAACTTAGCTTTTAACTGAGATTTTTTAACACGCTTCGGAAATTAAATCGCAAATAACTGGTGACTTTTCGATTCAGATACCTATCGATTGATGTACATCTCAATCAAGAGGGTATCAGCGATAAATTCGATATTCCTGGCAAGATGAGTGATGCGGAAGTGGAGCTATTAGATGAGGGATTCACTGTATTGACGGAACATGTTAAATACGCATTGGATTGGTATGCACACGATCGTGATATGAAGCTTATTAGTGGAGAAGTGCTTGCAAAGAAAGACTTCCATTATGCCAAGAAATTCACCCACGTAGAAGATTGTCTGTGCCAGGTAGCATCTTAATCTGAACAGACATATTTGTTGGTTATATACGCTGTGAAAAAAAAATGTAAAATGTAAATTAATAGAAAAAGCTGTGTAATAAATAATCATTTTAATATTTCTTCTCTATACTGCTAAATCCAAACAAAAATTATTAACCATTATTACAATATTATTGTATTAATGATTATTAATAATTATTACAATATTATTGTATATCTTTATAAAAAATCCGAAACTGTTCTGAACATGTGTTGATATAAGTGATGCTACAGCTATACAAATGTATTTACTAATTGGTAAGTACCAACTTTGAAAGTCCAAAATAAATTAAAAAAAACAGTTGAAGTCATAATTATCCAAACACGCATTATTTATAAAAGTTATCTCCATGTCCTCTGCTATTGGCCATTTCTCGCAAAAGGAGGTCGATCATTCGTTGCCAAGTATAGTTTCCCATGCGAACTGCAATAAAAAATAGGTCAGCTTACTTATCCTTCGTATTAACAGACTGTGAAAAGCTAAAACTTGTAGCCAGTGTGTTTGTGGACATATATTCAACCAAGAATTTATGAATTTTCTCAATTACTAGGCAATTATAAAAAACAAAAGCAGGCTCACTTTGTAATATGAATGTGTAAAAACTAACTATAATTCACCGTCAATCTTACAATGTATAAACGAAATGCTGAGTTTTATGTACCAGTATTAAAACCACGAATTGACTATATGTTCTATACACAATTTGTAATCAATGAGAACAATCACGGCGCTAACGTTGTGTATAGAATAACACGATAAACGTAAATGATATAAGGATTTCCTTAAACAGTTGAGCACACACATGCTACGTGTAAGAAGAACGCAAATAAAACTATTTCTAAGTAACTCACGATTGTGAATAGACGCTATATAGAGGATCATCTCGACTTACGATGGTTGGGCGCCTAATCCCATGTATCCGTCAATACTGAAGACACAAGGAGATGAGGTGCTCCTCCAATCTCGACACGCCGTACTTGGAAATCCAGTCGGGTTTTGTACTGATTCGGCATATAGTCTCCATGCTCGATTGTGACTACAGCCATCTGAAGTTTAAGTAAATGAGTGCATTTATTTAGTTAAACGAAACTCTATGGAGTTTTATATGTATTTCTTCTCTTCTTGTTAATTATAATTATATTTAAAAGTATGACACAACGTACACAGTCACAACCACACAGCTTTACAAGTGGTAGACTGCTAATATAATGCAATTGATCTTTATAATAAACTCTTAAAATACAAGATTTACATCCATACGATTGCCTGATTGATTGAAATATCGTTTTGCCTTAATAGTTTATTTGTGAAAAATACTGTAAATACTTCATATGCAATAAACTTATTAGCAAGTTATAAAAGAATATTTAGAACAGCAATTAATAAATGTGTTTCTTATTAATATTTGATATGGTATCGACTGTGCTAATATAATTGCCATTTAATCATTTTTTATAGAATAGGGCAAACTGGCCGACGGCTCACCTGATGTAATGTGATACCGCCAGCCTGCCCAATGCCCATGGTCACTCACAATGGCTGAGGGCTCGCAAGGCTCGTTTTAAGAATTGATACTCTCTTTTCTTGAAGGACCCTAAGTCGAATTGGTTCGGAAATACTTCAGTGGTCAGATGGTTCCACATAGTGCTGGTACGCGGCAAAAACTGTTACGAGTGGAATTTCGTATTCTGCCTCGACGTCCGATGATGAAACTCAACTGCAGGTATTAAATCCGAACAACTCCACTTAACGTAGAACGTAGAAGATGCAGAGAGAGATCTCTACGAAACACCAAGGGATAAATGAAGTCAGATTTGTCAACTGTCATTAGCAAGTGATAAATAATTAACATCTCACAGCAGTAATCACTGCGCTATTGTCTTTAATGATTGGAGTCCCGCCAAACATTGAACTGCACAAAGCCAGCGAATGTCACTTAATAGTACCTTGTTTCAATAAAAACTTACTAGAAACAGCTGATTTCGTACAAACTTTGTTTTTGACAGATAAATTGAGTAACATAACTCGTTGTTAGGCAAAGCTAAAATTAAATTTTCGTTAATAAGCAATGTCATTATTAATTCGAGTGCGACTCATTCGTTGACTATAATCAAATATAAAAAAATATCATTAATATAATTTCTTTAAAAGACACATTAATAATGCTTATAATATTATTAGGAAAGAACAATTTCATAAACACTACACTATTATATCACGACTGATACTCAGTTCAGGAAAAAGATATTAACTATCTTTTATTAGCAACTTAAGAGGTCGATGTATACATATTTTTTTAAAACTTCTCATATAATTATTGTATCAAGAAGTTGGAAAATTAAAAGAGTATTTATTTAAAGTTCAGTTCTAAGGCTATATTAAAATAATTTCCCGTTGAATCTGGTTGAGCTGAGTACTTTTAAGTTTGCAGAAAGGGACCAATTAGGTGTCAAATTCATTTGCCGTTTTCGCGCTTTTATTACTTAATTGCTAAGATTTTATAATTCACGTTTTAGTTGTGCCTAAACTATACGGTTACTACGTTAGCCTTACGCTGGCCATAGACGGACCGCATGTTGCAGTCGATACCGACTGCTCTAAGCGGTCGCCACACGGCGAACTGCAGTGTCCATACGAAATTCATATCCGCCATACACGGACCGCACGACCAGTTTCTGAGCGGTCGGAGCAGTCGCTCTGCGGTCGAGTTTCGCCGTGCGGTCGACTGCTTAAAGCTGCCGGACCCACCATACACGGACAGCTACAAGCGGTTGCTGCCGATCGCGCGCCACTCCCTCAAATAAAATAAAATACTAATTCATCAAATGAAACCACGGACATTCTAAAGTAGTTGAAAAACTTTTTAGTGTCTTCTCTCATTTGGGGATACAAAGTATGAAATATTCCATGCTGTTCTCTTGATTGTAGTATTGGACGCATCCACATGCTAAGGTGTCTTCTACGCCTACGGTTGCGTAATAGTAGTACAAGAAACAGTGTTTCTTCATCGAAATCCATCTTATAAATGAACTCGCATCAGTTTTATTTTGCGGTCGAACACAACTGCTCCAAGCAGTCGTAGTCGACTGCATTATGCGGTCGTGTACGACTTCAACGCGACCGCTCTAGAGCAGTCGGTCTCGACTGCAACATGCTGTCCGTCTATGGCCAGCGTTAGCCTGAAGGTTAGTCTCACACAAATAATGTGATATTTTAGTAAAATCTAAGATCTTATTTAATATTTGGAGAAATTTAACCTAATAATTCAAGCACCTAACCTCCAGTCTAGGCTAATAAACCAATTTCGCGTTCAAGCCTTCACCTTTAGAAATTGGGTTCGTGATAATCCAATTGTTACCTCCACGCCTTAATGGCTGGTTTTAACGGTTGACGTAGCTAAAGTGATGCCTAATTAGCGCCATATAAAGTGAAAAAATTAAATATTTCTAGCTTCCGTTCGGGATTTTATATTTCCTAAGCATACACATAATATAGAATTAGAGGTAAAATAGTAATTAGTTACAATTGCATCGAAAGAAATTACACGTTATTTCAGTTTCTGATTTGAGTTGCTTATAAAGGTATACAGTAAAAATAAGAATAAGAGTATTTACTTTTGGTATCTACTACGTCTGATAAGGAATACTAATACATAATAATAAATAAAAATCTGTTTATTCATTTTAAGTACATAATATGCATTACAATGTCTAAGATTTGGGAACCCTTTTAAGTAAGAAATACATGTGTCAGGGTTCCCAGCTCTACTCTACATACTTTGTGAAATATGTATTTCATAGTAAACCATTATGTCCATATTTAATGTTTTTTTATTATGTATAATAACATTTTTTCTTTCTTCTTTGTTTAGAGTATTAAATATAAAACCTATTCTACTACACATGTTACTAGAACATTAAACTTTCTTCTACGATACGAAATTACGCGTACCAACAAAGACGTACTTAGTCATAAACCTTTTGGGGAATATAACCCCGTTTGTAATTATTACCTCCCCCTCCCACCTCTGCAGCATCCGTATGACGTCAGAGCATCGATCGCTCTTCCCGCCGAAAGGGTCGCAAATTCATTGTTCCATTCCGACGAAGGCCAACATTTTTTATATTTTTTACGACTTGATAAGCCAAAGCTTTGATAACGTATTTAATTTGGATGATGGCCAGTATAAGATACAGAGCCATATCAGATTAAATAATAAAAAAATATTTTCTTATAAAATCAATTGCATCTTATTACACTGCTTTAAGCTACTCATTTGTTTCTTTCAAGTTAATATAATGTCTACTAATTAGTCTAAAACAACGTATAGGTGCGTAATACACAGGTCAGGAGTTCATGACCTTAGATTGGTGAATGAACTGAAGTTATGGAACTGTTGATCACCTGTTCTTGTAAAATTTTCATTATATTAATACAAAATTAAGTCATTTTTTCAATTTACCTGAAAGATTATTTATTTATATAATTTATATTGTCAGGCCATTTTATAATATTTTCCGATTATTAAATAGCATTACATCAATTAACTTACATACAAAATTTGTTTGTCGATTCCTAAGCAGCTGATCAATCCAGCATCCAGGTTGAATCCATTCCCCGTGATTAGGGTAAAAGTCTACATCACCAATTGGCTGAGGGAAGCCAAATACGCCAGGATTTGTATGTATGACGTCTACAAATGCAGCGTCACCATTGCTTAGGTGTCCTCCACTGTCGTATAAACTGTAACCCGGATATGCTGGATCTAGACCTGGAAGAAGATTAGACTACGCTTTTTAACTATCAATTTACTGTAATATCTAACCCTAAAATAACCTTTAAATAAAAAAAATCAGTGGCGCTACAACCTCTTTAGGTCTTGGCCTCAGATTTCTGAATCTGTTTCATGATCATTATTAAATCAAATAGGCAAGTGGGTGATCAGCCTCCAGTGCCTGACACACGGCGTCGACTTTTTGGGTCTAAGACATGTCGGTTTCCTCACGATGTTTTCCTTCACCGTTCGAGCAAATGTTAAATGCGCACATAGAAAGAAAGTCCATTGGTGCACAGCCGGGGATCGAAACTACGACTTCAGGTATGAGAGTCGCACGCTGAAGCCACTAGGCCAACACTGCTCCAAAATATTTAAAAGTGCATAATAAATGTTGACTAATTGATATGATACTTAGCGAGGCGTAACTCAATTTTGAGTTATTTGTTTAATAATGTTCGAGTACGCACTAGCACTGGTATTTTTGTATAGTCGATCAATCCCATCATTTTTGTATGCAATTTCGACGTAGTTCTCTTAATACGCGTATGTCACAACCAAGATCACTCGATATAAAAACTCGATTGGAATCGCAAAGCGGTATAAACAAACCTGTTATCCTTCCTAAAAGTAAACCTCTTCTCTTAAGCTCCTTGCCTGTGAAGCCAGCAGCTTCAGCGCCCAAAGAAAATCCAATAACATGCAAAGAGCCCGCGGGCACCCCCGCTGAATTCAGGAATTGTATAAAATCAGCCAGTCGTTTACCCATGTAACGAGTATTTTGCACTGCTGATACGTACCTGAAAAAAGTTGTTACATTATTAAATAATACTACGTTATCAGTAATGTTAAAATAATGTGAATATCCTATCATTCAACAGTGTTAGTTACCTAAACTTTTCTCTGAATATTACCCTAAGGACCACGAAACTCATAAACCATAGTCCCTGTAGAAGGCTTTAGGATTGGTAAGTGTCAGAGTCGAGACTTGGCGCTAATAATGACTCCCGTATTGAGTTTTGTCATCCGGGAGTCAGTTTGTGAGTCTTATCTTTTGAGGGGTACGCATCTTCCGAGTGGCTATGAACCTTTGGCGATGTTAGTATTATAATGTACAGTAAGAAATACACATCTTACCAAGGAAATGCAACAAGCCGCGACCAGTCAACGCTTACAAAGTTGTATTCTCCTGTACTCAAATAAGCTGAAAAAATTAAAGTATGAAATAGATACATATGAGTAATACTCTTAGGGTATGTTCACATCTGGCGAATGTGCAGCTCGCGAGCCGTTTGCGAGCTGCGCGCGTGCAGTCACGGCAATGGTTATGTGCGCCTCTTTAGCGCAACTCATGCAAGGCTCGTATGAGGCGCGCACTCAATTCTCGCGCTTACAGTTCCGTTTACTGGCGTGGGCGGAAGGAAGACGCGAGCCGAGAGCGCGCTGATGGCGCGTACGGCGCTTAGGTTGCGAGCGAACTGCGCGCGAGCTGCACATTGGCGGCATATTCGCCACATGTGGATGCACCCTTAGAACTGAAAAGCTAAGCCTTAGTGCTGCTCATAAATGTATTTTAATTAAAAAGTATTTGAGCTTAAATACTAAAGTTACTAATAAAAATATAATTTAAACGGTGAATTCAAATAAGTTTACAAATGAATGGTTGAAATTTTTGGATGTGGCTTGTAGTGATTCTCTTAATTAAATTACGCAAGAATTAAGGTGTGGTGGCGCTGCAACAAAAAAACTTGTGTCGTCCTACCTAACGGACGGTAATAACATCATGCAGCCCATTTGATCGTAATATACTTTTATTTAATTTTTCTTATACGAGTATTCGTGATTTAGGTATATTATAGATTTGATGGTCATTATAAATCTATATTAATTTAAAACGTGTTGAAATTTATAGAAAATGCTACATTTAAAATTCATAAAAATATTCACGATATTATAACGATGACGGAAATGATGAGGTCATTAGTGACGGAGGCGATGCATTCTGTGGCGTCCTTTTTGACGTATTTTAGTAGTTTGTGCTTATATTCTTCATTATTTCTTACAGTATTTTTTCTTAATATAGATTTTACTTTTGCGCCGTATTTTTTATTGTATAGTTTCATTAGTTGTTTTTGGTCCACTACAACTAAATAATCTATTACAATCAAATATAAATGCTATAATCGTATAATAGACATGTATAGGCCCTCTCTCATTACATTAAACAAGTGATAATTATTGCCATAATTAAATATTTCAAATATAAACAGTATTCCAAATATAGGTAAAAGCCGAATAGTTGCCTCGGACGGATACATGCCCCGGTGTTTAAAAAACTATGTTAAGATTATAAGTTGTATTGGCGCTTTACTACAATAAGTAGTGACTGCCCCTCAGGCCTAAATGCCACGTAAGCCATCGGAATAGGCCCAAGTGTTTTGTCCGTGTGAGCAAAAATCTTCCGCGGCGAAACTTTGACGGGCGTTATAATTATATTGGTAAGTAATTTCTATTGAATATTTTTATTACTGATCGTGGTTTCAGTCAACTTTTTGTTTCTTTGCATGCATTAGAGTTTAAATTACACTGTTTATCATGTTTTATTGCTAAATAATTTTTATTTATTTCGCAAATAAAAAGGGCAAGTATCCGCATCAAAAAGGATAGTCGCCCTACTTACTGTCGCGGATAGTTGCCCCTAGAGTGACTAAAATTTCTTAACACGCAAAGACAAATTTTATTTTTTTGCTGTTTTTTTATGTTTATTCGAATTTACTTTGTCTCTAATTTGTTGTAAATTAAATAAATATCTACTTCACAGTTTTATATATTTATTATAGATAAGCAAAAGCCTCATCAACATCAACTGGACAGAAGATAGCTTAGCACTTGCCTTCGAAAAATTGAGACAAAGTTGGGATTAAAGCACAACTTTATTAATGAGATTAAAATGGCTGGACCTCAATGGCTAAAAAGCTTTCTTGAAAGAAATCCTGATATAACTTTGAGACAAGCTGAGGGTTTATCAATTGAAAGAGCGAAGGGTCTCAACGGAATAGAAGGCGCTAATATTCTCTCTAAAAACTCTTGACAACTATTTTAACTGAGAATAATTTGCTGGATAAGTTTATTTAACATGGATGAAAGCGGTGTCCAACTCAATAATAAAATTGGTAAAGTATTAGCTAAGAAAGCAGTTAAATCAGTTACTTCCGGTGAAAAAGGAGAAAAAATTACTGTTGTTTCTTAATATTTCAAATTGTACTTAATAAAAGATCTCAGTAAATTATAAAGACTGTTAAATAAATAATAAAGATTACTCTATTTTATATAAATTTCTTTCTATCCATAATAAAAACGCACAAGGCAAGTATCCCCCCGAAGCATTTTCTACGCTAGGCTACTATCCGCCATAGTAGGCAACTATCCCTTTTCTGAGAGGTGAAATAAAACAGTATTTATTCAAAACCATTGTTAATTATGTATACAAAAATAGGCTTTTATAGAAGATAAAAGACCTATGTTGCGAGATACGTACTGAATAATTTTCAGCAAGTTCATATTTAAAAAATATAAAGCTTTTTTGAAAAGTGGGGCAACTATCCGGCTTTTCCCCTAGTTGACAATGAAGTACAGCCAAAGTTATATGGGCCATAGACCCCAAATATACATAAACCACTTGTAATACGTTTTGAAGCAGACACATTTCTGTATCCATCTTACTAATTAATTTCTTAGTAAGGATTAGTCTAGTAATTTCTAGACCGAAACCATTCTACTTTCGTCAGGAATAATATTTTTTTATATATATGAGCACAATGTAAACATTTCAACTCACCATTCTTCAAAGTTAACGTGCTGATGCCAGTGGAAGCTTCGGAAAAACCAAAGAGATAAATGACAGTTGGATGAGAGGTATTAAACCTGCTTCGAGTCAATGACCTCAAGTCATTATTATATCTGATTATTTCGAATGTACTCAGAAATGGTCTGTAATATTTCAAATTAAAATGTATTACTTGTTTAATTTACTACAGTCATTAAATATATCTAGGGTAGTGTACAGATTGTTATAATCCGCTTCCGAGTCGACCGAATCCGATAATGAATCCGGCATCTTAGTACCGCATTTACAGACGTACTGAAAGCATCAGTGTAAAGTGGACAAATTGTAGAGGTATTACTACAGATTATAATAATAAATACCATTTAGTGTCAAACCCGCACAGTCACATTTGAATACAATTGAATTACGTAAAACTTGATTCATTTGTACTAAATTGGTATAAATTAGTAAAGATTTGAATCCAACAAGATTTTAATTAACTTTAAACACCATGTTTTATCAAACGATTCTAATTCTCATAAAGTAAATAGTTGTTTTTACCATGCCCGATCCTCATAGTTGTTATTTATAAAAGCAAAAATATAAGAAATTATTTAAAATAATTACTAACGAAACCCTGCTAACCCTTTTCATAAACAAAATTAGTCCTTTAATAGTGGTTTAACTAACGCACTGACACTTTTTTATCAAAGCATCAATCATCACACAAATTAGAACTTTATTTAACCTTTCCTTTTAAGTCTGATTTTTTTTATAATATTTGTTTGTATGATTAAATAACAATGTAATGGATGAATGTTCACTTAAATAGGTAACAAAAACAGCGTTTCATACATTTTTTATTAGTTCCGTGTAGAATAGGAAATCTTAAACAAAAAATACACAAACGTCGAATTACGATTTTGAAATGTCAGCATAATTTATAAAACAGAGCAACAAAGTTTTCTGCCGTACAAATTGAGCACAAACGATGCATATTATGCCGTGAAGGCTACTTCCCGTCAGCTGTTCTGAAACTTGTGATGAATGGTGTACCTCTACGTGACTTCACATAAGTGACAATGGGGTACGAAATTCCCTTGTTGACCTAGTAATTTATTTAACTAGATGGTATTAGATGTTCCACATTTGCTCTTTGCTTGTTTTTAGGATCCCAATGAAAATTCGGTATATTAGTGTTGACATTTTTCGCTTTTGAATTAAATTTGTAGGTAAATTTTAAGGTATGATAATGACATATAACTGGAATTCGATTTAAAATAATAATACATAAAGTTAAGAAATTAGACAAAATCTGTTGCAGAAATGTAACTTTATTCGAGGTATGATTTTCAAATACTTACGTTAAAAATAACGTCGTACCTTGTAAAAAGCTTATACTTGATGTCAATGCGGTCATTTCTCGGACAACAGTCTTGACACTGCCCCACGGGCGCTGGCATGAAACATACCTGCACTGCGCCTGAAAACATATGAAATATAGTACTAAAGCTTGTATAATAAAGCCGAGTACTTTTATGACGTTTAATTTTATAGACATACAAGTTTTGAAATTACGTATTGCTTCACTTAATAAATTTGGATTGTTATTTTTAATAGATCAGATTGCATATACTTAAAGTTTTGTCCTTATCGCTCATTTTATATAATGTCGAAATTATGAAACTACATTAAATATTTCTAAATTTTAATTAAGCCCGTTATAAAAGCTTTTATTTCACGGGCATTATAGAGCTTGCAAGTTTAATTTCGTCTAATGAAAAGCTACAGTATAGCTATCTACTCTTTTGGCATTTCGTTCCGCTAATAAATTGCATTTAAATTAAATTTCTACTTTTTTAAATACGTCAGTACCTATCTCTTTTAAGAGAAAGTTCGCGTTTTTAGTTATTTATTTTGAATTTAAACCTATAATAAAATATAATATTTAGGAATAATTAACAAGTCCTAAAATCTATGTTTAGTATAAGTTTTAATAATCAAACTATTATGACCATGTTTTATTACATTTACAGTATACATAATTACCTTAATAAAATCACAAGGACATTGATATGATATAGTACATATACATATATATTTATGTACATATTTTTATAAATAGTCTTATACATATGCCTTTTCCTAGTTTGTATATTATTATTTGATCTTGACATAGTAATACTAATGTTACAAGAAGATTACCATAAGTATCTGTTTGTATTCGTATACTGTTGACATCGAGTAGATGCTTTATTACTAATTAATATTTTGACTTGACAGTTGACAAGAAGGTCCCATTCCAACAATTTTGTTACGTCTTATTAGTTGTACATTAAATATTAATTTTATCCCCTTCATAAACCATAATAAAGAATAACGTGTATTGATAATATATGATTAGTTATAGTTGAGAGTATACAATATATAATAATCCTTATAATGAGCCATAATTTATAACTTATTTTATAACCTATTCAAAACACTGATGGTGATAAAAATAATGAATAGCTTAATTTATTTTCAAAAAAATCAACAAATGAATAGTAATTAATTAACCACGATTTGATCCTATTCTGTATCGTCGCCTAAACCCCGAAACATAATGTTGTTAATTCACCTCAAACATAGGTAACCTTTACAATCAAAGTTTTCTGAAACTTCGTCAATGAGTTATAGGGTTGAAGGACTGAGAGGATGTAATTTTAGGCAGAATTCGAAATAAGTACTATCTGTATCACCTCGATGTCCGTCGGTCCACAACCGAGCATTACTTAAGGCAGTTTTTGCCGTACACCACCACCATGTGGAACCAGTCGCCCACTGAAGTAACGAACCAATTTGACTTAGGTTCCTTCAAGAAAAGTGCATACTTAAAAGGCCGGCAACGCACTTGCGAACCTTCTGGCAATGTGAGTGTCCATGGGCGGTATCACTTAACATCAGGCAAGCCTACTGCCTGTTTGCCTCCTGTTGTAAAAAAAAATGATATTTTCTAGTTCAAACTGTCTTTGCTTAGATCTGTCAGACCTCCTAAAAATAACAAATTCAAAAACTTACCGATAAATATCGACATCAACTGACAAGTAGGTCCGACTAGCATTTTTTTTAATTACTATTTTTAAGCATGAAAGTTTTAACTTAATGAAAAGCGGTAAAACTCAAACCACTCTCTCATTTTCGCGAACTCGCAGAATTTTCGCATTAGCCACCGTGGAAACTCCTTAAAAATTTAACCGTTTTAAGTAGTCTGCCACTTAAGTAACTTTACAAAGATATATACCTATGATTACTTTTTTACTTAACCGTACAAAAATACCAAAGTTTAATTTTTTTGTTCTGGCCTCACAAACTTTGCACACGACTGGCTATTTTAATATTAAAACAACGACTACAATGATTTCTTGACGTCACCATAAATTATGCAATTGTTTTCACTTAATCTCCGATAAAGGTTGGTTAAAATTGTGCTTTATCGAATTGATTGCAACCATTAGACAAAGTAGGGGAAATGACGGCAATCATTTCAAAATCTTATTATAGGACTAACTCACAAATGCCTCTACTTTAAAAAAGATAGGTGGAATATATGTTTTCTAAAATATATCTTGGGTCTTGGACTTTATTAAATCCGAGGTCCATTCCGACGGAACAAAAACTATACACGCCCGCTGCGCTATAATAACTATCCTTATAACTCCCTTGGTATTTTGCAAATAAATAAATGTGACAAATGTTCATACTTTGCAAATTGATTTATACACCACTATTGTTTCGGAGTGGCACAGAAGGCTGATCTATCTGGCAACAGACGGAAAACGTATTGGCTACCTTAATCGGATATCTTATACCTACCTATAGGTGGTTATTATTTATACTTTATATGTTTTCACATACAACGAAATATTATAATAATAATATGAGTTTTATATAAAAAAATTACTATTATATAACACAGTTAAAATAATGAAAAAATATTAAAAATGACATAACAGTCGAATAGAAATTACTAAGTGTAACGTAATTTATGAACCGTAGGAATATTATCCACTTATTTTATGATCTGTGGCGTAAGATAATATTTGAAATAACTGTAATAAAAAAGAAACGATTACAATGAAATGCCAAAATGTTGCTCCAAGCTAAACGGTCGGTAATGTGAAACTTTCACGCAGTTTCTGTCTTATATACATTTTCTATACAAACAAATTATCTGTGACTCGGTCAAAGACATTGTATTAAATTAAAAATATATTACAATGGATATGGTAGTAGAAAACCTTAAAACGAAATAATAATAATCATTGATTAGCTTGAACATAGTGTAAACTCAAACTGAAACTCAAAATAACTTTATTCATATAGGTAACCGAGTACACTTATGAATGTCCACAGAAAAGATGTTAAATTAATTCTAAACTAACATTTACTACCAGTTCGCAAGTCCAGGGCGTAGAGCGGGCAAGAGGAACTGGCAAGAAACTCTCTGCCACTCTTTTTAGTCGCCAAGTTTAGAGTTATACAAATTCTTTGAACTGGAGCAAATTAATCCCAAGGATTAGAATAATTTCAATTATTGTCAAATTTATAAAAATCTTTATTGATTAATTTACGTTTATCGAGAGTTCTGAATTTATTCAGTGATCTCTTATTTCTTGGGGGTTTGTTGTAAAAACGAATACAACTTCCATATAAGGAGTGGCTTATCTTCTGGAGCCTGGTTGGTCGTACGCCTACATTAGTTCTGTTTCCAGTAATATACTGGTAAAATTCATCATTTGTTTTATAATCGTTTATATTTTTTTGTATATACAACAAAGGCTTCAAGAATAAATTGACCATATGGGCATATTGTATGTATATATAGAGGTAACAATATTAGTTTGTTCGCATATTCTGCAAATTTGTTACTGATAAATAAAATAGTCTTGACATTATTTTCCTTACTCAATTTAAATAAGTTCATCATAACCAATTAGCTTTGTTGTTGAATTATTAATATGAAAATTTGATTATATATACATTATCTTAAATAATAACAATAGTTTCATATTATGTTGTTTCATTTTGGCTGACCTAATTATTTCGTTAATAAGACCCAAGGAGTAACCTAAGCACTAAGCTGATTACGTCGTGTTCAAAGCCAGGGCTAAGCGAAGCATGTAATTAAATATTCACCGGCATTCACTAAATTTTAACATAAATACTCTTTTGTTGGTTGTATTATTTTTTAAATTATGTGTTAAATATAAAAGACAGACCAAAACAAAGCATTAATAAAATAATATTCTGTCTCACATTTTTTACTGACAAATATTAAATATTATATCATGCCTGCATAGGAGATCTATTCAATGGATATTCTTTTGTTACAGGACAAGCTTCTCAACAAGCTTGAAGAAAATGAACCAGAACTCGCAACGTCACCCGAGGAAGAAGTTAGTATAAATATTTTAACAAGTTATATGAAATATCATATTGGAATCACTATAACAACTTTAACCTTTTGTGTTCTAAGTATTAAGTTTACGTTATTTCGTACTTTAAAACAATTAAAAAAAAAATACAAATGGTTGCCGTATAATTGGAAAAATATTGAACGAGATATAAAGATTGATCGAAATTATTATTGGTATTTTCGTAAATTGAAAATAAACTAACATTTCAACTACCGCCAAGAGATTTGAAGGCTTCGCAAGTATTTGCGTACACATGGGAGCTTTACGGCTGTGTTTGGCTATAAATTTTCTGCTTATTAGCAGTAGTCTCTACACGAAATAAAATATAATATAAAAATTATAAGTTCTTCTAAATAGATCAAATTAGATTATAATTTGTATTTAACTTATAAGTTCCATAAGTTGTACAAACTTTGTCTTTAGACTATCTTTACTGAAGACAAAGTTTGAGATGCTGAGGCACACTAAAATTACTAAAGTATGAAACGTAAAACCTTTTAAATATTTATATAACAAAACATAATTCGAGAATGAATCTTAACAAATATTTGACGCTTTTCCCAATAGCATTCATAAACTCATGGTAAAGCGACAGGAATTAAGGGTGGTATCGCGCACATTGTATCGTGTATGTAGGATCGATTCTTAAATTTAAAACAGCAGTGTCATTTTATACAGGACGTAATATTACGAGATGTACCTTATCTAAGATACAAGTATCTTGTATTTGAATGCCTTTTGTGTGCTATTTATTATTATTGTATATTATTTAGTAAACGATTTGCTGATGCATGTGTATTTAGCACATGGAGAAACAATGTAAATTGTTTTTAAAAGCATTTAGTGGAGAGGACAGCAACACAGTGCAACATTCGTAGGAGGTTTATACCATAGAGGTACACCTCCCTGTGTGGGAAGAAATTTAAAAAAGCATTGCAATTAGTTTGAACGGTGTTTAGTTTCAGCGCATGACTTCGAAGATGCTTATTTTGGTTTAAAGTAAATATTCTCAATATATTGAACATATATAATCATAATAACCAGACATAATTCTGTATGATTCTATTAAATTTCCTCTTTTTCGTCTGTCTTTAAGCGTTAGTACTTTGTAGATGATAAAATACTTTTAATAATAGATAACAGATTCTATGGTAACGTCTTAGATGACATTAACTTTAAATGTCAATGTCGCATATATAATTGAACGCACCATTGAATCTTTGTTCGTGATGGATGTTGGTTCGGATGGCGTAACAATTCTTTCTTTCTACGAAATTCGTCTATGCCCCGTGATTCGTGTCCTTTTTACTTTATTTAACTTAGCCGTACATAACAGTCTTAGTTAAAACATGATAATGTTAAAATTACCTCCCTTAGAGGAAAATGAAATTCACTTATTAAATTAATATTTGGACTGTATTGCTTTGCCAATAGCAGAATGTATTAAAAGCCTGGAAGGAAAAAATACTTACTGTAGTTCTCCCGTATGTTACCCGAGATGTTTAAAATGTGTTCTGGATGGTTTTTGCTGTAAGAGCCTGTAGCAAATGATGAAATATTGGCTTCAGTGTTACATCCGTTCTTTAAAATGAAATGGATACCAAAATCACCGCTGACTTAGAAACATAGCAATATGTATAATAATAATAATAATAAGCCTCTTATCCTGAACTGTTTCTTGGACTTTTAGTTGACTCTTATCTTTAAGTTATATAATATCTCTAAGTTCAGTGTGCCTCTTGGCAAAGGCCTCCTCTAACAATTTCCATTGTACTCTGTCTCTTGCAACCCTTCTCCATTTTGAGCCTGCTGTTAATTTTAATTCGTCTTCCCATCTCTTGCTTTGTCTTCCTCTGTTCCTTTTCCCATCTCTAGGGTACCAGTCAGTTATGATGTTGCTCCACTTTTCTTGTTTATCACGTATCATGTGCCCAGTCCATCTCCACTTCAAGCTATCTATTCTAGTGAGTATGTCTGTGACTTTTGTCTTACTTCTTATGACAGTGTTTCGTATCTTATCTTGTTTCTTAATACCTATCATACTTCGTTCCATAGCTCTTTGGCAGTGTTCCAGCATGTTTCTGTGATGTTTTGTGAGAGCCCAAGTTTCAGACCCATATGTAATACATGGGAGAATGCAGGTATTGAAGACCTTCCTTTTGATACCAGTACTCAAGTCTGTGGATTTCATGATCTCTTTCAGTGACCAATATCTCTTCCATCCGTTAGCTATTCGTCTTTTTATTTCTTTTGTAGTTGTGTCTGTATGTGAGATGATTTGTCCTAAATAGATATATTCATCTACATATTCAACGGGTTGGTTGTTAATTTTTATTTCATATTTGTTTGAATTCGTTAATAGCTTCGTTTTGTTTATATTCATAGATAAGCCCACTTTTTTGCTCTCTGTATTTAGTTCTTGTATCATTTTTTTCTAGGCTCCCTGGTTGTTCTTCAAATAAAACAATATCGTCAGCGAATCTAAGATGGTTTAGTTTTTTACCGTCTATATTTAATCCATGTTGGTCCCATATTAGCTTCCGAAATATGTTTTCCAGCACCGCGGAGAACAGCTTTGGAGACATCGGGTCGCCCTGTCTGACGCCTCTTTTTACTTGGAATGTTTCACCCAAGGTTTCCATTTGTACTCTTGCCTTACTGTTAGAGTAAATGTTTTTAATGGTGTTTATGTACACTGTCGGAATTCCTTGGTTCTGTAAGCTTTCCCATATGGCTGTGTGGCTAATGCTGTCAAATGCCTTAGAATAATCGATAAAAGCCATATATAGCGGTTTGTTGTGCTCATTATATTGTTCCATAATTTGCTTGACTGTGTGGATGTGATCTATTGTGGAGAAGTTTTTTCTAAAGCCAGCTTGTTCCTTCGGTTGGTTTTCATCAAGTGTGTTGCTTATTCGGTTCAAAATTATTTTGGAAAAGATTTTATATATGTTAGACATCAGACTTATCGGTCTGTAGTTCCCTATGTTATCTCTTTCTCCTTTCTTATGTATGAGAATGATGATTGCAATATGTACTTAAATAAAAATAAATACGTTTTATATATTTTGTGCCATGATTGCACGCGATTTACCCATAAGAAAATAAATTTGTATTGAAAAAAAAAATAGTTTTTTACTAAAGTATTTTATCTTTAGTATTTCAGATACAAATCCATAAAGTTATTTTCATCTGGTATCACTTAATTGAAAAGTATTTAGCATTTTGTATTTCAGATACTTTATTTAAGGAATCTTTTACATCTAAATGTAACAAAGTACCTATAATAATAAACCGATGCATTAATATTGAATTCATAATACTTTAACTAGTTCAATACCGAAGACAGAAATTTTCATATATCACGGAATATGAATTAACGCATTAAACTAACTCACTCTTCTTTTTTCCTATAATACGAATATGGTATTTTATTAAATTTCAGTGTGTAATATGTGTGAATGCAAAAGCGACTATGCAGACATCGCCGTGCGGTCACTGTGTGGTGTGTCGGCGGTGTTTTGTCAAGACCATCCAGATGGCAGTTAGCCAACGCCTGCTTCCGTTGCGCTGTGTCATCTGCAGGGCAAAGATACTGCGGCTGCGGCAAGCGCCCAGGCTGGTCACTAGCAAAAGTTGGCAGGTAAAGACATAGATAAATACCATCCGTACCATCTATAGGTACTTAAAGCTATTACAATTTAGGCCAGCTTATTAATTATCTAAATATATATAAATTACGCGTCACAAATTTCGTGTGCAGTTTGATCTAACTTAAAAGATAGGATAGCTTACATCTCAATTTATACCCGCAATATTATTTTATTGCAAATTATTTGTTTATTATTTGACAGTCACAATTCTAACAGATGGCGCTGTGTTGAAAGTACCAACGTTTCACATAAGCTACAATTTAATAAGCAATTTAAAAAGCATGGCGGTTGCCATGACTGGTGTTCTCCTACCGTTTCCCTTGAATAGTTTACTACTATGTAATAAAACGACACAGCAACGCTTGGCTGAGTTTGCTAGTCTAATATACCTATAAAATTCTCGTGTCACAGTTTTCGTTGCCATACTCCTCCAAAACGGCTCGACCGATTCTCATGAAATTTTGTGTGCATATTGGGTATGTCTGAGAATCGGACAACATCTATTTTTCATCCCCCTAAATGTTAAGGGTAGTCCACCCCTAAATATTTTATTTTTATTTTTAGATATTTTTTTCTGTTTTTATTTTTTTATGATACAGCATTAAAAAATACATACAAACCCCTAACTTTCACCTCTCTACGATCAACCCCTATTTTTTTTATTATAAATGATATATATGGCAAAACGACGTTTGCCCGGTCAGCTAGTAGTATATATATCTTATAGTCAGACGAGTCCTTGAAAATGCTGTTAGTTTACTCGTATAGAGCATTAATATACGACAAAGACTTTTATATCTATTTTCCCAGCTCACAAACTTTGACATTCTTGCGCGTTTTAAACCAAAACATTGTTACCAGGAATTTTTTCCATTTAAAGGTGCACTGGCTCTTAACGAGGCTTATTTTATTGAGTTTAGCTAAAATCGCGTATTATAATACATACATACATACTCGTAAATTAATAGAACGCATGATACAATAAACAAACCAAATATTTTTTAGATCACAAGCAATAACAGTAAGCTGTGGGGCGTACCTGGATCTGTTTCGTCGTATTCTGTGGGAGCCCGCTCAGTGCCGGCTTCAGCTTCCTTGTACTCTGTCACTAGCGGGGAGTCCTCAATTTCCGGTGAGCCATAAATCTAAGGAGTATTAGTACCTTTCTTAAATTTATAATTAACTGGAAATTATATATTTAAAAATGTACTCAATAATCGGTTAGGTAATATAAGGTTGTATTGCGTGTTCCTACGTTGGCACGCTTAATTTGGTATTAAGATTTAAATGAATTTAAATAAATATCGCCTTGAATGGATCTATCCCTACCTACGCTTGTAAATAAGTACTATCAGAAGAATTATCTAATCTAATATATAAAATTCTCGTGTCGCGGTGTTTGTAGTTAAACTTCTCCGAAACGGCTTGACCGATTCTCATGAAATTTTGTGTGCATATTGGGTATGTCTGAGAATCGGAAAACATCTATTTTTCATCCCCCTAAATGTTAATGGTAGTCAACCCTTAAATTTTTTTTTTAATTTTTAGATAACTGTTTTTTTATGATACAGCATTAAAAAATACATACAACCCATATTTTTCACCCCTCTACGATCAACCCCTATTTTTTATTATAAATGATATACGTGGCAAAACGACGTTTGCCGGGTCATTTTATAAATAGCATAGAATATACTAGCTCTCTTATTCCAGGTGTGTCTTCCGTATCATCAAATAGCGGCGGTACTGGCACGTGTTCAGCGAAGTTATGTGGAGGGTCCAAATGTGGGGGGGCCTGTCTTGGCGCGATACCCCGGGTCCCTTCAGCGCCACCCAAACCCCGCCAGCCTGGCTCAAACTCCCTACGACGCTCACAGCATCATAGCATGAAGGTTTTTTATTATCTGCCATGTTGATCTAAAGCTTTCTCGACTTTTATTACTTTTTTTCGAAACATTATCAGATATATCAACTATTATAAATAAAAATATACCTATACAGTGTAAACTCTTTATAACGTCAGTCGTTATAACGAAACACTTTCTATAACGTTAAATCCAGTTAAATTTATTTGGTTTAACCCAATACCCACACATTAATTCTTCCATCCCTATAACGATACCTCTGTTTAACGAATGGAATTGCTCGGTCCCTTAAAATTCGTTATAAAGAGAATTTGAAATCTTTAGTTTTTAAAACAGACAAAACTAATAAAATTTAGGCGACGTGTTCGTTCTTACAAACTAAGTTAAATAAAGTTCTGGACTATATATGATATGAAATAAAATCGCTTTAATAAAATATTACAAGTCGCCGCACTTAACAGCCCAGACTACATGGTAAGGAAAAGTTCACGCATGAAGTTTTAATAGCAAGTTAAAACCACTTCCGCGCTTTATGATTCTTGTCAACTAATTTGCCGACCTCCTGATACGAATGCATAATAATAAATAAGTATAAAGATTGTACTAAAGGCTATTAACGAATCATTTTATTTGATTAATGATAATGATACTTATGATATTTAATGGCTTGTGCCAAATAACAACAATGCATGGCCGAGCTAAATATATTTACTACCGTATGTACAAAGATCATGGCACTGATAGTTCTATCATGATCCAAAATGTCTGACTTATAAATAAATGAAAAGGTTACAAAGCAAAATATATAAAAAGATATAATAATTTACGATTTTATGCAAGTATTTTTTTTATCGCGTCACACGTCATGTCGATTCTGTTGTTATAACATTTTAATTCATATTAATTTTTAGATTGGTCGTGTCTGTCTATTCAAAAGATTTTTTTTTAATATTTTATATTGCATAATGTCCTTTATACAGGACACCAATAATAATAATATTTACACTAGATTATTTATGATATTACTAATGTAGCGCTTATATTCTAGGCCCGATTACAAGAATATCAAGTACACAGCTACACAGGAGGGCCTGCGCCTGAGGCCTCGGGTAGACTTCCCCCTATTCGGGAATTTCAAAGAGAATTCCGAGAGGGGAGGCGGGAGAGCGCAAATTCCGCTTCTGCATCAACTAGGATAAGGTGTACCTTTCAACCTATATAATAATAATTCATAATATCTACTCGGGTAGCCTAAAACATATCGCCGTACGCCGACCATTGTACTACCGAGGATCTTATAAGAAATTGTGTCTAATTTTATATAATGAAATGTATTAAGACTGTAATAACAATTACATAGTGATATGAAAATAATACCAATCCTTTTTCAGATGTGCTCAGAAAATAGTAACACAACTAGAAACTTCACCACAACAAGAAAAGCCAAACTTCTTCCGTACTTTAAATCCGTCGAATAAAGAAGACCCACCCAAATCAAGAGATCACAGTAAAGAGACTGAACGAATAAAAGATAACCCCAAAACAAAACCCAAAAAAGAAGAAAAGAAGAAGAATGAATCTGAGGAAAATGCCAAAAACGAAAAAATTAAAAATGAAAGCCATGATACCAAAAAGAACGAAACAGCTGAAAGAAAGAAAGAGGAAAAGTTGCGTATGAAAGCTGAAAAAGAAGCGAAGAAGGAAGCTAAGCTACAAGCTAAAGAAGAAGAGAGACAGGCGAAGCTATTTGCCAAAGAAGAAGAAAGACAAGCCAAACTTTTGGCAAAAGAAGAAAAAAAGAAAGCCAAAAAAGAAGCTAAACTTGCAGCACAGGTTGAAAAAGAGAAAAGTAAATAATATATTGTTTTTACACGTAGAAACTCGTAGCCGTCTTTAGAATATAGATTTAAACAACGTTACCCAGGGATGAAAACAATTAATAAAATTTTAATAGATTTCAATGGACTTTAAGAATAAAGTCATAATATATTTAAAAAATCTAAATACTGTAATATTTAACTAGTATTTTTTCTTTTGTTAGGCCATATTTTTACACGATAATATATAGTTATAAATCCAACATTGTTGAATGAAATCAAATCTTGTCAAAATACTATGAATTGAACTTAATTGCAAGAGTTGAACTTAAGCTTTGAGGTGTGACCTGTGTAAAGATATTTAGCGCTGAAAAAATATAGCACCCTAATGTTGAAGAATGTATAGTGAATAATGAATTTGTTAGCCGCCTGTAAAATTTTCTGTAAACAGCACATTTTGTCAAAATTTGATTACAATTAAGTTATAAACATAATAGACCATATAAATCATTTTTTTAATAGTTCAGGTGTTACAACACTTAAGACTGAACAAACAAGTCAAAATATTATCATATCATTTAATAGTTTATTGCAGTCAGTTTTTTCAATAATCATGTCTTGGATTTTAAGCTTTAAAATAAAACACATGAATTGTACTAACAAGAAAAGGATGAAAACACTATCCATTTACTAAATCTTCATGCAAAATTCATCTCTGTTAATTTTATCTGTGATTTTAATGTAAGTTATCTAGTTTAAAAGTTTTTTTTATTTAATTCAATTGAATACTAATTAGTAGCTACCTACAAAGGTTTAGATCATATCAAGCTAAGTGTAATTATTATAATAAAGCGTTGATTTTTATTTTGTAAGATTCCATAAATGACGTTCTATGGTCATTTGTTAGAAATTTCCTGTAAAATAAATAAACATGTTACCATTTTGCTTTTCATTATTGTCTCGTCACCTTCCAATATAGTAAGTGGCTAGCAAAGTATGTTACATCTGATGATCTGTTACAATAACTACGGATTTATGTACGGTATCATGTTCACGAATATACAGTGTGATTGCAGAGGATAAATCATAATGGTTTAATGTAAATTAACTAATACTTAAAATTATTGATGAAGAGGTCACAAAAATCTTGCCTACTAGAACCTACGTATGCCATGCCACATATACCAGTAGAGTATATTAAAGAATTATTAATAATCATGCAAGGATAATCTTTCCCATAATCCTTGTAATATTTGTCTTTTGTTTCTAACCCTACTTTTTTTACTCTCTTAAAGCTACTTTTACAATTTAGAGCACTTATAGTCTAAGATCCGGCTGCAGGATTAGTGCGCTCATCGGTTATTTGCTAAAAACCAAATTTTAAATAATTAGGAGAATCTACCAAGTTTTATTTGTGCATCTAAAAATTATTAAATATATTAAAACAAAAACAACGTGGTTTTTATGTTAGAATAAAAATGCCGCATCTATTCAGTTTGAAAGCTCGTTCCCACTATGTCGTCTGTCGGGACGATTTTTTATCGTGTCGTAGCGGCAAAACATTTTATATGATGCTATTCACACTTGTCCGACAACGATTTTGTGTCGGAACCGACAAAAATTATCGTGTGTTTGGTCAGCCCTCCCGTTCGGAAAATAAACGTGTCGGATCAACGCTCGCATATTATTATGATCGCAAATGGCGCTGTTCACGTTTGTCGTATATCGGTCTGACCCCGCCCGCGCCGCACCCCCTATGCCGCCCGCGCGTCGCTGCCGCTCGCATCGCCATTACACATTTTTCGTTATAAATAAATGCTGTATTAAATATAAATTCTGAAGGTTTAATATCACTTGTTGAGGAAAGACCTCAGAATTGGGTGCACCCAATATCTTGTATTTTTAGCTTTCATTCGTTTCCTCCACAAATAATACATCACAACAAAAGCTTCGTCGACGTCTATCGTGTACAGAAGCCTCTTTTTGACTGTTTAATGGCACCAACCAGCTGCGGTCGTGGCCGACAGCCGACTTGTGTGAATAGAGGCGCCGATACACGATAAAAAAAGTCCCGACAGACGACATAGTGGAAACGAGCTCTGAGAATATTAGTGTATTCGACGCATGCGCAATGGCATAAAAGCGTCGCACAGGCGGCAATAGCTATCCTCATCTGACAAATGATGTTATACATTAACTATCTTTCACTCTACCTTAAATATTTATCATCTTTAACAGCAGGTAACCCTCATTTGCGGCCAGATTTAACTAGGCACCCATATACGATAATTAATAGAAAAAAAAATAAGCTTCAATTTGATATATAATTAATAAATGTACGATATTAATAATTATTTCATCCATTCCTAAGTAAAATAATGATACAAAATCATACTTTTTATTTATCTACATAAGATGTTATAACACACTTGATTACTAAATATACTAACAGACATTTCAAAAATTTATTCTTCGTAATCATCTCCCAAGCGATTCAACATTTCATCACCAGTTTGTTTGTTAACACGAAGATATTTATTTATCATTGGTCTGTAATAATATGCTTGGTAGTCCTGTCTCTCTGCCATTTTACTAACTACTTCCTTTTCCAGTTGTCTCAGTTTCATTTTCTGAGCTTCTTCATCAATAAAGTGCAAGAATTTTTCATATTCCTATAATTAACAAAGATTTTAAATTATATATAATTAATTAATAGAAAAACTACATTATTGTTATACTAACATATAATGAGGAAACATTATAAATAGACAAGCTGGACTGGACTCTTATTTGAGCAGTCTTGGCCTTGTGGCCTCAGCGTGTGACTCTAATCCCTAAGGTTGTAGGTTCGATCCCTGACTGTGCACCAATATACTTTCTTTCTATATTAATTTAACAATAACTTGAATGGCTGATCACCTACTTGCCTATTAGATTGAAAAAAGATCATGAAACAGATTCAAAAATCTGAGACCCAAGTCTAAAGAGGTTGAAGCACCACTGATTTATATTTATTTATTTGTCCAGCCATGACAGGCTTGTGTAGTAATATGTAAAGAGCTACTACCAAATCACTGTCGTGTTATATATGTATGTGTAAGAATTAAGAATTGGTCCATTTTAAACCAACTTCAAGCACCCAAATGAAAGGTTTACAATTCAATATATTATTTTTCCATTATCTTGTTTTAGTTTTTAATATGAAATTTAAGGTCCATATGATGTTAAACTTACTTGCTGAGGGCTATTATGTACATAACGTGCTATAAATCTAGTGATAGGGTGTCGGTGATATTCCCAATGTTTAGGTGTGTAATCACTAGGAATTGGTGTCAGCTGAGCAGGACCAATAAACACATTGGTATAAAAGATAATTGCCCCAACAGGAATAAGCCCGACCATAAAATAAAGGTGTAACATGTCCTTGAATTTGTGCCATTGCCACCTGAAATAAATTAAAGACTATTGAGCCTTCATATTTTGTATAGCACATAAAATCTGTCAATAACAGGTTAGATAATCACTTATCACACAATAGTAGAACTTTACCTGGATGGCTGCATGGCCATAGTTTTGTGTCCATGATCACCAAAAAGGCTTTTTCCCACTGAGAACTTCACATTTTGACCAACTAAAGGGATTTTTGAGTTGGTTTTTATTAAATTAACGCCGAGAGATCGGCCTAATGCGCTCCAAGAGACCATCTTTGTGAAATAAATATTGACAGTTGACATTGACAACTGAAACAGACCATTTTTTTATTCACAGAATGGACAAGCTAAAGTTTTCCGACATACTCTTAGGTAAATTACCTGTAGATACAGCTACCGTCTTCTAAAAAGTTAATAAGCATCAAATCGGTTTTGTTTTAAATGCTCTTTTAGAGCAATAAATACGTTCGACACAGGTTGAAATTCTGCTATTGTATCCAATATTTTTTTTAATTATAAAACTACATAGCTCTATTCATTGACGACTAGGTATTGAAAAACTGCATACATCATTATTATATACAGCCAAAGTATATTTACGATATTTCATCAATTATTATTAATGTGTCAACATAATGATTGTCAACATTGAAATTTAATAAAACTTATGTTAAATGTAAAGTGTATGTATAATATAACTCTTCTTGAATGTGTTACATATCTTGTAAGTTTAGCATTTTTGTTTGTTATAGAAAAATATTTACAACTTAAAACCTATCAGTATATTTTGTTGTATGAAAACAGTAATATTAAAACATAAGTAGAATGTCGCTAGCCATCAAATACTTTAGCAATAAAAAAACCAGTTATTATTCAAAACTTTACGGAATTTAAGTTTCCAAGAAAAGAACAAACCATGGGAGATAGGTATACCACTTTCCATCGAGTTCAAGTTTCGAGATGTATGTAAAATATATAACCATACCTATTGAAAACAATAACTATTGTAAACAATAGTGAGATAGAATTACTTTTTAAAATGAAATAATTGTTTTATTGAGACAACGTACGTCTAAAATTATATAACCTTTTATACCTTGACTGATATTGTATTAGTTCAAAATCACCAAACTTAGTTATTATTTTCGATTTTCCAGTACTTTTTTAGAATGGTATATTTTAGGTATAAAGAGTCACTAGGTGGTCACGATACCAAAAATTGCGTGACGTAATACTTGAACGCTCGCAATACCTACGTACATTTCAAAACGAAAAAATTAAGAAAAAATGATCTTTCATGGGAAATAATTGTAATAAATAAAATATATTATACTAAAATTGCAACTTACAAATATTTCATATTCGTTGTCAATTTTAGAAAAACATATTAAGTTCTTGATGTTATGAATTTGTTGTAACGACTATTTTTTTACGACAATTTATCACAATAATACGGTTAAGAAGATAGAGGTAAAATTAGAATAGATTTAAGCCACACGCCTTCACTGGAAACCATTGTATGTTTCAATCTGAATATTTTGTAGCTTTCTCTTTTTTTTCGGCAACATTTTTATTTCTTTTCTTCCGACTGTTTTAATTGCTTTAAGCTTAATTATGTTGTCATTATGTTTAATAAACTGTCATCTTTAATAATTTGTCATCTGTGGTCTGTGCTGACCGCTGTCAACTGTATCGTATAGTGCTTTTCATGAAAGAAGTCCCGCGGTGATTTTTGGAACTAAATTTGACAGGTCGGCAAAGTTGTCATTCGTCGATGTTATCAAGTTCGTTTGTTGTGGCAGATTTTTGTGAATTTTTAACTAGCTTAGTGCATTTTAAAGATTGATTACAATGCCAAAAGATGTAAAAAGTTCGGCTCGAGAAATGATATTAAAGGTGAAAGAGTTCTGTGAAGCGGAACATAAGAATCAAGGTGTTTTAATACCACTAAACAATCTTCGGAAGAGAGTTGCCGCCATAACAGGTACTTTTTAGAGTTGCCATTTAATAATTTTTTGCTGTATTGATGGGACTTTTATGATATAAATTCGGTTTTGCGACAAAATTGAATAAATACATAACGTGATGAAACTAGGTAACTCAAATTAAAACATATATTACATATTTCATAAGCATTATAAACTTAAAGTTACTATTATTTTTAATTGTTCATAATTTAATTGCAGGTGTGTCAGAGAAAACTATAACAAGAATTACAAACGAAGGTATAACAGCGGAGTGTACTTTGAAAAAAATTGTAACCCAACAATTATGCAATAAAACTCTGAATAAAAAATTGTATTGCTTTTCTTTACCCTATTTTCTCATCTTTTCCCTGTAAGTAGGTAGAACACCGCTAATATAAGTAAATAAAAATATACTTTTTACATAACATAAATATTGTTTCATCGAAGTATGCATAAAATAATATTATTTGATAAATTACATCTGCTAAATGTAAATAAAATAGGTAATTTTTTTACTCATAAATGGCAACATTACGTTATGCGATTGCAGCGCCGCGTCTGGGGGACTTCTTTCATGAAAAGGACTATATCTGGTGAGTGCTGAATTTTCACTGTCAATGTCTAAATATCAACGACAAACTCTATCGCGCGAAAATTGGAATTTCTTCTCTAAATAAGGTAGGAGAATGAGATTCTGATGCTGGTAGTCAATAATAATTATGTAGGAGGAAGGATAAAACAAAAAAGGTGCCCAATTTTATCACTTCCAAAAAAAAATTAAAGCCTTTTTTATGCAGTGTACGATATTAATTTAATACTTCCGTTGTAAGTACCGACCGCCTTTCATCTTATAATTATTTTACATTTTTTTAAAGAATTATTCGTAATTAAAGTAATTCGATCTCTTTTTAACTCATAACTTAAACTATCACATTGGAAGCCACCTGTTGATAAGCATAAAACAAACAGAAAAGTCTTTTGACGTAGTACTGGCGAACGTGATGTCAGTTTATTGATTTTTCTCTCTGAGCATGCTCCATAATACGTGTTTGCTGATAGGCGGTATTCAACCCACTCGATAAAATATTCTGATAGCACAATACTCGCGCAGTAATCGTCATATGCCTATTAGAAAATAATAATTTTTAAATGTAAACTGTTTTAGTGGTGACCCGCGGAAAGCAAGCAATATGTTAGTCTTGGTTTGAAATGGAAGAACTGCTCCAAGATATTATTAAAGAAGCTAGTGGACCAAAGTTAAATTCTCTCAAAAAATCATGTCAGGAAGCCTTAGGTAAGAGACCCTCTAATATTATTTGTCTATATTAAACTTCTATTGGTACAAAAAAATGCTAATTATTGCAGATAGGTCTTCAATAAATAATATAGATAATATGTATAACTCGTGGTATATCTTAAAATCTAATAAAAAATATGTTGGCCCTAATGTGTTCCTAATAAAAAACTTATTAAACTAAAATATTTTTTGTAACTTGTATTTTGTATCAGCTCCAGTTGTGAGGTCCACCACACTTAAGCCAGAGAAATTTATTTTTACAGGGTGTTAAATAACATAAGGATGTGCAATAACTTTGTTGTTTTATGTAGGTGATTAAGAATACCCAGGTCCTTAATAATTAACACTCATTGATCATGTAAATTGTTCAGCAGATAAATGAGTGAAGCCTTTAATTATTTAGACCCATAAATGTATAATTAAATTTTATAAATAAAGGTTTTTATTTTATTTCATCCTAATTTAAAAGTAGGTGGTAATGAAATAATTTTCTTTCATAGAGTTAATTTGTGCACAAGACGTGAGCGGCCGACGGCCCTCATACGAGTGCAGGCGCGCGTGCTTGCAGCCATTGCAGCTCGCGCTAGAGACCAAGCGCCCCCGGCTAGTAGCATTCGCTCTCCAGGGTTTTCATGTATGTAAATTTGTGTAATCTCCTAGTATGGCAACAGACAAAATATTGTAGTACTGTTTTTTTTCAGTGCAAATTTTTATATAAACAAGTATCATACAGTAATATCGTAGGAATCAAACTGGTTAAAATTCAATTGTAATTGTAATTTTATAGAAATAAATTGATGAAGGATGGCAAAACAAATAATTATATGGAATCTGCTTATCTTAATTAAACGCTAAAAATTAATAATTCAAGCGAGCCATGGGCAATATGCTTCCGACGTAGATAATGATAACATAAAATATTAGCATTGATGTGCGTCACATCCAGCGTTGCCATCCCGATTTTTTAATGAAAATGAAATGACAGACATACTTTTTCCTGCTTTTTGGGGTTAACTCAACCGTCACTCAAGACACCACTGCCACGCACCGAAATGGCACCAGCTCTTTTAACAGCTACCAAAAAAAGATACCAGGAATATGTTTAAACTACTATCTTTCATATTAGATATCGCAACATCAAACTGCTTCCCTGAATGCCATTTATCCCAGATAAATTATTATTTAAATGGGCGGATGCCAGAAACAAATTGTCTGTAAATTAAAGCTACTCTTCTAGATTAATCTACAGCTATCCTGTGAAGAGTTCGTCATTTCATTATTTTTTCATTAATGAGAAAGAGGAAACTTTAAAATAAGCTAAATCTTCACAAAAATACCAAGAATACGTAAGTCTTATAAAAATTATTCTCTTATTGTAATTTGTTATATTCCTCAGAGTTCTGACTATTGTTTGAAACGCCATAATTATCTAATGAATACTTTTTTTGGTTTTGTTTTGTTCATTTTATTTTTGAAGTTATACTTCTTTAGGCGCGTTATGAAAAATTTATGAGAGTGAAATTTTACGATGCGCGCGCACCGTGACACAAAATTATCAGGCGCCGAGCGTGCGCGAGCGAGATGGGAATAAGACAATCTACAAGTAAAAAGAAATAGAATATGCGTGACGTTAGCAGCTATGCCAAGAATATTGAATGACCATAATGACATTTGTAGTACCTTTTAAACAAATAAAGGAGTTTTAATTATTTTTTCAAAGAAATTTAGCAATGCTTTTTCACAAAGACCTATTGTTACTTAGTTAAAAGGTTTCATTATGAAACATACCTAGTTATTAAATTGAACTAATAATATAATAAAATAATAAATAATAATAATTAATAATATTAATTAATAATTGAATAATATACTAAATATTAAATATTGTTAAATTATTAACGCTAAATATTAATTATTAATTATTTAATATTTTAAAAAAATAAAGAAAGCCAAAGAAGTATAACTTCTTACGCGCGTACATAAGTACACGCACCATTTTTGTTTTTATTAAGAAGACAAGTATTTAACGATAGGGTAAATTTGATTTAAAATATCACCTTTAGTTACTATGTCCCGCTTTTTTATCTCAAAACGTACGTACATACGTATCTCAAGTCACAATCTCGGATTGAGCGTTGTCAAATATGTCAAAAATCAAAATGTATACAGAAAAAATGGTTTGGCAGCTTTGAAATTAGATTTAAGATTGACGATTTAGAATACCGGCCTTAGAAATGCTAGTTTTTCTCACTGTGTTTTCTTTAATTGCATCATGAACAAGTTATGCGAGTTAAATATATTGGTCCAGCCCTAGTACGATTTAAGGGCTGAAAATCATCTTAGTGCTTATATCAATATCGTATCTGACAGAAAATACTTCGTGATGATCGTTTTCACCGTGGCATCGAACCTGAGGACGATTCGCTATGGACCCCGTCGCAACTGCTCTGTGCAACCTCCTCGGTCATGTACCAATTACCAGATACACAGGTATGGCAATTGGTTATAGATTTTATTTCTTATTAATTATTAAAAATACTTTAATTACTTGATTAACACTTACATTTGAAATAATTTTAAGTCTTTTTGCAATGAATAAAGAATATTACTTTTTATTTAAAAAACCCGTCACAGTACAACTGCATGATTCCAGCTCTCACCACAAGAACCATAATATGCTTATTCTTCTTTCGAACTTGATATTGTAATTATTTAAATATTTATTTTTAGGTACAAATATTCCGCATGTACCTATCACTGGCGTTATCCCCCCGGCGTACCCTAAACGGGCGTTTGAGCGTATGGGCGTGCGGCCGATGCGCAGAAGCAGCCAGTACGGCGCCACACGTCGCGGCCGCTGCACGTGCCGCTGCCGCTCAAGTGCTAAGGGCGTATTGTGCTCAACTTGGTTATTATATATTCGTTTTTACTTAAAATGAATGAACTAAAAATACATTTTTTTATAAAGTTTGTCAACCCCTGGTTCACTTATATATTAGTGGGTACATAAAGAAAAAAATACTAGTTATTAATAAAAACATTACATATTAATAAAACGTTAATACATGAGGTATCTATTTTCTTAGATGAAGAATGCCAAGAACTTCTATCGGAAGGGTCTCCAGTGGGCCAGAATCACTTAGTAGCTGTGGGCTGCTACAGCGAGGTCATACCTGTCATACAGTACTTGTGCAGCCGACTTACTGAAACTCAAATGTAAGTCAAAGATTCTAGAAATTTCTTAAAATTTTTACTAAATAGGTACAGATGCTTCCACGATCATGCTATCAAGGAATATAAAGAAAAACAAGTTAAAATAAATATATGAATCAGAAAAGGTGGATAAAAACATTCAACAGCAACTCGTAAATATGGATTAAACTATCATACAACATTAATAATTGATTATAACAACCAGTCAAACGATTTGAATCTCTGTAATTATAATAATTTTTATTTCAAATTTCAATATGTCAAACATACATTTATGATAGAAAGTGAATAAAAAACAACCAAAGCAATGGGGAAATAAAGAAAATTATTCTGGCGGTAATTAAACGCTTGTTAATGACCGATGATTGGAAAATCAGAATAAAATTAATATTTATTCACGTTACCTACTTAATGTACACTTATGAAGTTTATTAAAAAGCCTCTTTTTTGGTCCATTTCTGGACGTAGGCCTCCTCCATCTTCGTCCAGTACCCCCAGCACTGGCCTCTCCATCCACCGGGAGCGATGCTTGACAAAGTCTGGACGGTTGCGTGGGTCCATAGGTACTAGTCCATGTGCACTATGTGGCCTGCCCACCGCCACTTAGATGTTGTGACAGCCCTTACTATGTCGCTCACGCCGGTCTTTGCACGAATTGCCTCATTTCGTACGTGATCGTGAAAGGAGATGCCAAGCATTGCACGCTCCATCGCCCGCTGCACGACTCTCAGGGTTTCCGTCGTGCGTTGCGTGAGCGTCAAGGCTTCGACTCCATAAGTAAAGACTGGCAGGCTGTACTGATTGAAGAAGAAAAAAAATAATGCTTCAAAATTTACATATATTGCTAGTTCTCAAATCAATGGCGTCGCACGGACGAGAACTGGCAATAATTCAATTTTTTAATCACCAACTTTTTTTTACAAAATGTTTGTAAGCACCTTCAACCATTACATCATGCTTCTCATCAGATGTTAAATATTGTTATTAAATTAAAATATTAATATTTCCAGGATACCGAAACAGAATCCACTTGCGCTGTTCTTCCTGGATTGCCTGCTCACATTAATGTCCAGCTTATCAGAGCGTGTGAGCGGCAACTCGCATTTCACGACATTCCTTTGGCAAAAGTTCTGTCCGTCACTCATCTCTTTCTTGGGAACTCCACGAGTCGACAAAAATATTAAATCCAGGTAAAAATATCGCTTTGATAATTAATATATAGATGGACAAAAAGTGGATAAGTTCGTGTACATATATTTACTTCGAAAGTATGAGGATATTTCTATATGAAAGACGAGTGAATGCTGGAAATAGAGTAAATGGAGCGTTGCGTTCCTTTATGTGTAGCCAAGAAATCTCAAACGAGACTCGACTGGGCGTACATAGGGGAGTGCTTATCCCGACGTTAACATACGGTAGTGAATGTTGGGTCTAGCAGAGAAGGAAAAGAGTAGAATAAATGCCGTGAAAATGAGAGTGATGAGAAGTATGTGCGGTGTATTATTACGCGATAGGATAAGTAATTTAACAGGACAACTTAAAAGTAGCCATAACCGACGAGACTATTCATACATAGTGAATGTAATGAAAGTGAATGAAGCGAGAGAGGTATGTCTGGACCGATTGAAGCAGTTGTTTTTAACAATATTCATTTATCTTACATCTTCTTTGACGATATTTGAAGCACGCATTCTATCAATGTTATGTCAAACGCCATAATGTTACATCAAAAAAGTTTTAATTGTAAAAGCGCAAGGCACTGAAAAAAAAAATTGCTATCGTAACAAAAGTCAGGATTACTTAATATGGTGGTTAAATATTCTTAAATTTTCTAATTTTCCGCGAAATTTTCTTATTTTTTTCTTTCATAAGTAACCTGACAACAAACACAACAAAAAATAGCGAAATCGGTCCAGCCGTTCACGCGTTATGCCGTGACCAATGAATCCCTATTTAGGGATTCATCATAAATTAGGTCCTTACATATGAAATTGGCGTTTTGTATGGGAGGAACAAAAAGTCGAATATTTTTAAATATAATATATTTAATTAATCAAAGCATGAACCATTGTTTTCTACGCACTTTTGCCATCTCATAGGTAGGTCATTGATCCCTTTACTAAAAAAAACAGTCGGACGGGAATCAATAAAATCTGTGAAGGCAATTTGGACTGCCCCATCAGAGTTACATTTTTTCCCTTGCAAGAAGTTGTCCAAATTTCGAAAAAAATGGTAATCTGTTGGAGCAAGGTCCGGGGAGTACGGAGGATGTCTTAGACATTCCAATTGAAGCTCTTCTAATTTGGTAGCCGTCTGTTGTGCAGTGTGTGGTCTAGCGTTGTCGAAGTAGCAGTGGCGTGGAGCGATTGACCAGCCTAGGTTGTTTAGCCGCTAGCTTTTGCAATTGCTGACAATAGACATCAGCCGTAATGGTCTGGCCAGATTTGAGAAAACTGCAATGAACAATACCGGCACTAGTCCACCAAACGCTTACAAGTAACTTTTTTAATTTTCGCTTGGGGCAGGATTTGGCTGGCTGGCCAGGATCCAACCATGGCGCTGAGCGCTTCCGATTATCGTAAAGAATCCATCTTTCATCACAGGTAATGATTCGTTTTAAAATACCTTCATTATTGTGCCGGTTCAGTAATGTAACGCAGCAGTCGACGCGCGTTTGCCGGTTTGCTTCAGTCAATTCGTGAGGTACCCATCTTTCAAGCTTTTTAATCTTCCCAATTTGCTTCAAGTGAATTAAAACAGTTTTATCACTAACACCGCAGCCTGCAGCTAACTCGGACGTGGTTTGCGATGGATCCGCTTCCACAATAGCCTTCAATACTTCATTATCATCTTGGGTCTCAGGCCGTCCACGGGGCTTGTTCTGCAGGTCGAAATTTCCAGTGTTTTCTTTTGCAACCTGACCGCCATACACATTATTCACCCTTCGAGTCGTTTCCGCAGCACTAGTGCCACGGCGGAACTCGTACTCGTAAATAATGCGATACTGTAAGTTTTCCATTTTGCAAAATGAGTGACGCAAACAGAAAAAAACAAATGAATGACGGTCATCGAAGCACACATACATGAGTAAATAGCTGTACAAATTTGAATTTGGAATTCCTTACCAAAGAGGAGAACATCGTGATTAAAGTGGCCAGTACGAAAAACGCCAATTTCATATGTAAGAACCTAATATATAGATCTAACATTTTCAGAGAGCACGAAGGATCCTTAGTAGATGACTCAGGACGAGGCTCTGGCGCTTTGGTTTGCGCTCCTAGCTTCAACAGCAAACAGGCGAAGGCTATTTACAGGTAAAATCCCCGATCCAAAGGAAATTCATTACATCTTTTCTGCTTGGGTTTGGAGGTTGAGGAGACGTTTATATATTTACCATTTCGAGCCACTCAAACCGTTATTACATATAAGAGATTTATTATTTTTACAAAATATATTGTTTTTTATAAAAAAAGTACAAGTTGTATGTGAAACAAGTCTAATTAAATTTCAAGTTTATTTTATCTAGTTATTTTCTTTATGGGTATATCTCATAGAAATCATAATTCTTGGCACTCATTTAGATCCATTTGTGTCTTTTTATGTTTGGGTAAAAATATTATTATTTCGGCTAATGCGCAGAGCCGATGCCTTGGAGAAACTGATAGTGGTTGGTAACACAGAAGGCCACCAATCAGATGGACCGATCAAGTGACAGACCCATCGTCCTCAAAACTGTACACTGTCATAAAAGAGGCGCTGGACGATATCGGTGTAAACAGATAGTCCGCTCCAGATGATTCCTTGCTGACCACGACGCTCAGGCATGAGCTGCCAATTAAAGAGAGAGAGATACAAATAATTCAGTTGCTTTTTTTAAGACAACCCTGTATATTTTGTTACAGTATATCGAACCAGCTAGTACGTCTTGTCGGCTCCACATCAAATCTACGGCCAGTTCTCGAAGCACTTTACCATAGAATGCTGCTTTATCCTCCAATACAACATCGCGTTGAACCACTGCGGAGCGTTCGTGAACTGTTGCAGCATCCCAAGAGATTGACTCAGCTGGTTTTGATAAAGAGAGATGATAGACATAGTGATGATATGGCTATCGTAAGATTGTAAGTAAAATTCTGAATATTAAATCTATGTAAAAATATGTCTAATAAAACAAATAACTAACGTTACATTACGTATCGTGGTTATTGACATTGTCAAGTCTATTTGACATAAGCATTGTGCAATAATACCATAGACAACACTCAAGGGTCATGCTTCATTACACACAGAGTAAAAAAACGACGGGTTGCACTCCGGGAGTGCCGGTAAAAGTGAAAACTTGAATATTAACGTTTGAAATTTTGGAATGGTAAGGGAATCATTTTTCTTGAATTGCTTTAATTATCAGTATAAAAGTATATCATTTATGTGGTAGAATACAATATTTCTTTATTGTGCTATCGTACACATACATGACAATTTATATTACATTAAATACGCCGCGCCAGCTGTCTACTCGCCATCCGTCTTACGAATTTTCGGTCAGGTCACGTGACCTGACGCGAGTTTAACATTTTTTAACTCATTCCAAAAAGTGTACAACGCCGCTAAAGAAGTTTTCACTTCAAAACATAACATTTTAAAATCGAATTATGAAATTCACCACACATATTATGTTTGTAACTTGCTTGACAAAATCAAGTTCTGATGCTATTTCGCATTTAGTGAGTGACTAAAACCATACCAAAAGTCACATTAAGCAACTTTATTTTAAAGAATAATGGATGGCATAGAAGAATGCGGTCGCAATGGTAATCCGGAAGTAGTAGCAGCGGCGGTCGAATGCGTGGTATCTCTTTTGGATGCCTTGGAAAAATTGTGTACCACGCCAACGGATTATATAACACCAGAAACGGCCAGTTTGATATTGGATCACTGGCCCAAGTTACACGAAGCTGATTATACAGGACCACTCACTTATCAGACGTTGGCTAGACTACCGAGCCCGTATAGGTATGTGTGGCCCCATTATTCATTGGTTTCTTTACCTCCAATCATGGGGCATGGGGCATATTTTTGTTATTAATAATATTTTCGCGACTTTTGTGACTATCAAGGTAACATCTTCTTTGTCGCAAATGTCGGACTTCCGGGTTACTAAATACAGGCTTATTTGATTTTGTTTGATTGTCTTTATAAGTTTCAAAAAAAATATAAAAAAATCAGTGGCGCTACAACCTCTTCAGGTCTTGGCCTCAGATTTCTGAATCTGTTTCATGATCATTTTTAAATATAATAGGTAAGTAGGTGATCAGCCCCCAGTGCCTGACACACGCCGTCGACTTTTTGGGTCTAAGACATGTCGGTTTCCTCAAGATGGTTTCCGTCACCGTTCAAGCAAATGTTAAATGCGCACATAGAAAGAAAGTCCATTGTTTTGTTGTATCGACCCTTCGAGTTAAATCTTAAACGCTTTTAGTTTTGGATTGTAATGATTTATAAGAGTTATGAATCAATTAAATTTCAGAGACGTGGTAGCTGTCCTACAAAGCAACGAAACAAAAGACAATGATTCTTCAGGTATTATATATTGTATATGTTAACGTAAAATTGTAAATACCCTTAGATTGTAATCTATCTCGCGAGATTATAAACTGTCGAAAGATTGTGAACTCAACGTACTGCTTACAATTTAACGTATTATTATTCGGTAGATTATAATCTATCGAAGTGAAATCGTCAAATTGTGAAACGGTAAGCACCTCGCGCGCTGATTGGTCGGCTTTATAGTAGACCGTTATATTATGTCCATAGAGTTAGGAATGAAACAAGGGTATCGGTCAAATAAAATGAATGCACTTCAAAAATTAGTATTTATTATATCAATAATTCTGACATCACATGATGAAAAAAAAAAATTTGTCAAAATAAAAAAATCAGAAACGTAACAATATTTTCTCTTCAAACACAAATTAAAATTGAAAAATTAATGAAATTTTCTTTTAGAAAAAAACGATCGCAAAATAAAATCAAAATTTAAAAAAAAAACAAATCGAAAACATATGAACGTTTTTGAAAACATAACAAAATTGTCTATTATATAAAAAATAAGAAAGTAAATTGCATCAATAAAAATGTTCAATTATTGTTGCACGTCAACGAGTTGTGGCACCTGGAGTTACAAAGAACATTAGCTTTCTTTTTATTTTTTTGCAATTAAATTTTTTTACTATTTTGAATTTTCATTATGCCCGCTGTAATAGTTTTGTAACTCTATGGTAAATTCTTCCTTATTAACAATACCTAATATTTCTAAGTTTTGTTGATCGACAGGCTCAATATCCGACATTGTAAATACGAGATCACAAAGGTTCACGCAAATAAAAAATATTAAAACACGGAAAATGTATGTAATTTAGACTATGTTTGGAGACCAACACTAACTTAATTATCATTCAAACTGCACTTCTTTGGTCAATCACAGATTAATTTTACTTCCACAACATTTTCATATAACTTTTCACGGTCACTTTCAACATCCTAAAGCTGTGAGTTACTTTCAAGACGACATCAATTTACATTCACCAAAACACCGTTTGTTTACATTCGACAACAAACGAATTAACAACAAATATGGTCGCCACCATTGCATATTCCGTTCAACCAATCAGCGCGCGAGGTGCGTACCGTTTCACAATTTGACGATTTCACTTCGATAGATTATAATCTACCGAATAATAATACGTTAAATTGTAACCAATACGTTGAGTTCACAATTTTTCGACAGTTTACAATCTCGCGAGATAGATTACAATCTAACGGTTTTTACAATTTTACGTTGACATATATTTATTATATATATTGTATTTTTATATTTAAAAACAAATACATATTTATGTAAATCTTCTTGGTGAAATAAAAACTAGCGAAAGTAAAAACGTGAATTTATGTCACAATATATATAAAATTTTCGGCAAAAATACCAATTTAAGGTTATATTAAATTCTACCTTCTTCAGGCTTTATCACTAGAATACCCATTGAGAGCGATAATAGTAGATGCGTCTGCGCACACTGGCGCTTTATCTTTCTTTTAAGTCATAATAGGGATCAGCCGCCATGGTATAATTAATTATATTTCTATATAATTTCAGACACGTCAGGTCCAGAAAACTTAAGTTCGGGAAGTGAGGCCGAAGTGGACTCGGACGCAGATAACGTGTTCCTACCGAGTAGAGCCAGTAACCCAACTTATAAAGAAGATAACTTTAGCGAAACTAAAGCTGTGCCGAAGACTTTAAACCTTGGGCGGTAAGTTTTTTTTTTATTATTTATCTCTCGACACGTAACTGCGCCAGACGTGGAATAGATCGCACGTGTTTACTTTTAGTATGAACAAATCTAAACTCAGTTTTGTATCGCGCAGCCCGGACATACAACGACTAATATTTAAGCCTTGACTTGTTTAAGCTATCGCGGAATATGCTTAAAAGAAGTATTAAGAAAATCCATAGCGCAAAATCACCTGCATCATGAGCATACCCCACATACACACATTTACGTACATACCCTCACTTTGACACCATCACACAACACAGCCAAATTAGGTACCACTTATTTAAATGTATTGAATAGTTTTTATTTGTTTGTTTCCTTTTGTAAATTTTTGAACCTTTTTGCAGTTAAATGTATTATGTATTCCATATCTGGCTTTATTTTCAGTGTAACTGTTTGTTATTATATATAATTTATGTTAGCTGTAGGATTACGAAATAAATTAATAATAAATGAAAAATAATAACGACTTTGCCAGACCTTGTGATAATCTCGGGATCATTCATCAATCATCATAATTTCGGAATTTGGTAGAAATTCCGTGAAATGTTAAATTTTGTTATTCATTCAAATTTTTTTATATATTTGTCTATGTGTGAGAAGTACACGAATTGGTCAATTACCGAAGCACTGAGAAATTAATTTTCCCCCATACTAAAACCTTTTAAACATTAATAAAACTGATTTTGAACATTTTAAAAAAGATTGTGTACGTTTTTTTTATCCAATTTGTTTTATTTCGAAGAATTTAAGAATTGTTGAAAATTTTCAGATGCACCATAACGGAATGCAACGTCGACCTAGAGCGCCACAACGCTAGGCAATTCGTGAAAACGCTGCAGAATTCCCTTCTCCCTAAACTGGTCACACTTAGGACGTGTATTGAAGTAAGAATTATTTATTACGTTTAATGTTACCTACGATATTAATTTTCCTGCCCGTAATTATCGAAGTTACCAAAAATTATGATTACAATAATTGTTCTATAGCTCAGACGGAAAAATTTTGTTAACAATTCTTAATTGTGTAAAAATCAAATTATTTATAATTATTAAAAATTAATGATAATGGTTATTTTTTTTAAGATTAGACACCGCCACCCTCGTTAGATAACAAATTATTTCATATTTTCATCCATATCCGATCCGTAACTATACGGATATATGTATATAAAAAGGTGGGACTTTTTGATATATTTTCAGCAACTTTTTTTTTTAAATCAGGTAGACGAAGCAATGCAAGAGTTCGCATCAAAGTGTTGCCAACATAACGCCGCTCAACCTCCTGCCACGGCCTGTATTATGAATGCGGATGGCGTCTACCTTGCCACATATGCAGCTTTACTGCTTACCCTCAAGCAGAAAAGGAGCAAGTACTATGCTGATATCAGTGTAAGCGTTTTTTTTTCATTAGACTACATCTCCAATTTAATCAATATTTTATTTTAAAATTGATAGGGATCTAAAGAATATTTGTATATTTTAAATAAATAAAAAACATTTTTTTTAATTAATTATAATGACTAATGAATTTTAGAACGGCCTCAATCTGTCAATGTGCAGTCATATTACAATAATTATAGTAAATTTAATACCAAGCAGTGTACCGGTCATACAACGAACACTATTAAAGCCTTGACTTGTTAAAGCTATAGCGGAATATGCTGAAATGCAGTATTAAAAATATCCATAGCGCTAAATCACCTGCATCATGAACACACACATACCCTCACATACAAACCCTCAATTTCACACCATCACACAACACATCCGAATAATATATTACTTAGTTAAATGTGTTTAATTAGTTTTAAAGATTTTTTCTTTCGTAAATTTTTGAACCTTTTTGTATATATATTTATTCTATCTTTGGCTATATATTTAGTATAATTGTTTTAGCTATTAGCTGTAGGATTACGAAATAAATAATTAAATAAAAAATACATAATCAATGAACAAGGCTAAATAACTAATCTTAAATAGCATTTCTATAAAATATATTTTTTAGAAATGCTATTTAAGATATATAATAAACAACTTAGAAATCATTATTTTGTTTACAGAAAATTCCACTACCGCTAACTGAAGATGAATTCGTAGAAGATGTTCAAGGTAGTGGAGTACTGGTATACTTATCTGCTACTTGGCTTCGGGAGCTTTACCAGCAAGTTGTCGCTACGGATCTTTTGAAGGATGTACAGACTTCGGATCATCCTCTAATACATTTATTATCTGGTATGTTGTTATTTATTATAAAAAAGTAAACTAAGAAATTTTGACTTATTATTTATTTAAATAGGCTTGCCAACGCTCGGCACACTGATACATTGGTACATAAGATAAATTAAATACAAGATTGAATGTGACTAGCACTTACAAACAAACAAACAAACACGGAGGAAAAAAATACATAGATGGATAACGTTGCAGGATTATTATTTATTCATATTATTATATATTTCGGATGTAATGTGCAATAAATGTATATCGCATACATTTTAAACATTGAAACATAATAATGTGTAAACATATAAAATTAAAATTTAAAAGTCTTTATAGAACTAATAACTTGTAAATAACCATTTATTTATTACAAAAAAAAAACAATAAAAAATATTGCCGGTCACATATGACACAAAACTGTCAAGATTATTCGAACCGATGATGATGTAGCATGCTTGCAGTATAAAAAAAAGAATACCGATTTTATTGCATGTATACCTATTTGCTAATTTATATCTAATGTCTTCGCCTTTCTAATCATACTGATCTTGAAGTAAAATCTCGTTAAAAATGGGTCCATGGGTTGCGTTGACTGTCCTTTTAGGGCGTCCCGTAAGATCGTTTACCCCCCTACTAAAAAAATAACTTATATTAATAATAAACACATTAATTTAGATCTGGGTGGACTGGATTCGAATCCCGTGATGTCAGACTGGCAAAGGCTGAAAGAGGTTTCAATGGTGTATCATAACTCGAACGACTCTCCACAACTCCAGGCTAGTTTACGATGGGCCAGAAGGTATGCTTTTCTTTATGATTAATAATTTGACGTACACATAAAAATTATACGTGGAATATACAACGTCGTTTGGTTTAAAATAAGTTATTTTTTTATTAACAGCTTCCTAATTGACGGGATTAATAAACTGTTTTTTGAATTAGTTAAGTTTTAACATTTATAGTTTACCTGACCATTGAGAATAGACCGTTATGAAAATTGTCTTTGAATTATTATATTACACATGTTTAAAACAGTGTTACTCGATTGGGATGCGTTTTTACAAATATTTTAATTTAAAATTATCTAATATAAAATTCTCGTATCACAATGTTCGTTCCCATACTCCTCCGAAACGGATCGAACGATTCTTATGAAATTATTTATGCATATTCAGTAAGTCTGAGAATCGACTACTATCTATCTTTCAAACCCTGATATGACCCCTCTACCCCCAAAAAAATGTTTTTTTTTAATTTTTTTTTATAATACAGCAATCAAAAATACATACAACCCTATATTGTCACCCCTCTACGAACAACCCCTATTTTTTATTATAGTAGATGGTTATTTTTATTGAACGAATAAAATGTTTCCTAGAAATTAATATACTTACATGGCAAGTGGCATGGGTAGGTAGATAGATAGGTAGGTAGTAGGTAATATTAATTCAAATTAAAAAAACCGATAATTATAAATATTGATTCTTGGACGTTATTCGTTTTTGGAAGAAACATGTAAACTTAAATTTATTGTATCTATTTTATTTGTATTAAGAAAATAATACACTAATTAAACGTTTAGTAAGTTGTAATGTTTACAATTGTAATACATCTTCAGGGTTTTAACATGTATCTGGGAGTCAATGGTGACGGTACTAAGTGTTCCATTAATTGGATGTAACAAGAAACACAAATTACACGGAATCATTACAAAGAAAATCAACACGTTCGGGAAGAGAAAGAGAATCGCGTGGGAGGGTCTCACTATACAGTGTTTGGAAGGACTTCATAAGGTTTGTTTTAATTACAAAAAGTTTTTTTTTTATAGACTGTTAAAAAAATCTTCATTACTCTTTTGTTCTTATCTATGGTATATGCAGGTGAAAACTCGTAAATGCACTATTTTCATATAGCTTTATTTAGAAAATATTATTTGAGTGATGGACACTCTCAATGTCAGAGCGCTCGAGAGTGAGTTGCCGGCCTTATAAGAATTGATTGATTTTTTCAGGCAAATATTAAATCTAAGTAAAAAAAATAATAATTTGAAAACTGCTACCGCTGTTTTCTTTACCTACGGTTAAAAGAGAGCAATATCCGTTACAAGATATATAGATAGATAGATATATCGTCTGATAAAAGCTAGTGCAAAAGAATTATTTTTTTTATTAATTCAGGCAGCTCGTATCAGTACGACTTTAAGTCTACAGAATAGATGCAACAGTATCCTCGCGCTTCTGGCCAGCTCAGCCACTTCTCAGCCCGCTAATGGGAAGATCCTCTCTACACACGCTTTATCACTGGATATATTAATATCAGGTACATATAAGTATTTTATAGAACAGGTGGTAAACGGGCAGGAAGCTCACCATGTGTTAAGCGATACCGCCCATGGACATTCACACTACCAGAAAGCTTGCAAGTGCGTTACCGGCCTTTTGAGAATTGGTACCCTCTTGATTAAAGTATTTCATATTACTATAAGTTTTGCTTGTGGAATAATTTAATATTTAAGGCAGAACAATAACAATTATAATGTCTACTAAATGTGACGTCACTCAATTATTTATTAATTTTAAGAATTATATACAAACCGTCTGCTATACGATTTTCGTTTTGTTTTTATTCCTGCCGAAAAATTAATTTAATTTTGGTGTTATATATACGTAGAATCTATATATAATAGGGTTAAAATACATTTAATAAAATTCAAACAAACCGTACAAATAAAACTTATTACATGTTTTTCTGTTTCAGGTGGTCTCGAACTAGGGTCCAAATCCCCAGAGTGTTGGGAGCACATTTTTGCCGCTTGTCAATATGTATCAAGTTTCGAACACTCCTTGTTCGGTCAACAGGGGAATAACGCGACACCGATAGTTGCAATGCAAACTGGCAGAAATAAAACTGTGTCCATACTACAAGCTGATGCCAAATTGGGGTTGGATGGAAGAGATGATGAGACTTGGTAAGATTATGATGATATAATAAAATTTGAATCCTTAATTAACCATGAAATAAAAAAATTAAAGCCTTTAAATGCTAGCTAACATGCTAAATATAAAGAAAATGTGCCTAAAGTAATATAATATTTAGTAAAACTGGCAAACGGTTCTTTATTTGTCCTTCGTCATAGGCCTCCTCTAAATTTTGCCAATCTTGGTTCTCTACCGGTTCGAGTCCACATTGGACCCATGTGGGTCCACTCCATCTTCTTATCTACCTGCCTCTCTTTCGTTTCCCATTTCGTACCACCCCTTTACGATTCTGTTCAATTTTTGCTTCTTTTCTCTCATCATATGACCCCTCCATTTTAGTTTTCGGTATGTGGTGTATGCGTCTTTAAATTTTGTTTTTATTTTAATATCGCTTAATTATATTTTATTTTTCATTTTTAATCTTTTTTTACTTCTTTCGATATGTTTAGACAAATTTTTATTATATTTCCCAGTTATTCTGTCAATGCCCAGGTCTGACACCCGTACAACAAATATGGCCAATTATATCTACCCTACCTTTTACTTTTTATTCCTTAATTGGCATTGTTGGCTTTTCTTCTCTCTATTTCTTTATGCATGCACTCTTCGGGGGATACTAGTTGCCCTAAATTAGTTTTATTGATAACTTTTTTTCAGGCAGATCAGCCTTTTGTGCCTGATAAACGTTGTTTTTCTGGGCATTTCGGTTGCCTCATCGTACGAGAAAATATTAATTGTTCTGATAAAAAAATCCACCCAAAGTCAGGGCTTGAACTCATGACCATAGCATTTATAAATTAAATCTATTTTCTGTGAAATAAAACTTAAAAGTATGTCTGTTTCAGTGTGGACGTATTCAACTTCTTGCAGCCAATATTCGATACCAATAATGCGAACAATGAAATGTCCGTTGCCAAAATTGTTGAAACCTGTCGTCAAGAGGTGAGTTTTGTATATTTTTATAATATGAATGCACTATATATACACACATATTTTTTTTTTTTAATTTGTAATAAATAATTAGGGTCGCTACCATGGCCACCGTCGCTTATTCATTATGATACTTGATGTATGTAATTGGGTTTACAGTCATTTAATAGTGATATAATATAATAGTACTCGTCGTAGTAATAGTTCTTAGAAAAATGTTTTCTGGTAATGTTATGGCTATATTTTTTTAATTTTAAAACTATAAAAATTATCTTAAAAGATAGCTGTTGATAGTCTATAAACTGTTAAATAAATATAAACTTTAAATAGGTAAAAAAAACTTTAATTTTCACGTGAAGTGTTGTAAGTATTTTGTTTGGCTGTTATTAGAAATACAATTGTATTTTTGCTTGAAATTATATTTGTAGGGTGGGAACGTAATATCCGGTTCGAACGCTGCACGCGTCTGTTGTGCGTTGACGGCGGCCGCAGACGCGCTCTACACGCGTCTTGCTGCGACGACAACTCTACCGACACTACGGGCTGCACTGCAAAGACTGGTTTCGCATCATCATCGACTGGTAAAAAAATATAATTAAATCTTGCTAAACTTATTTGACTGTTTTAATAACCAATGTATCTACTTTTTAAAAAAACTAGAATAAATATTGATTATTATGATGTATATATGTATAGGGGGGGTTTAAGTATTACGTCACGCAATTTTTGGAGATTATTGAACCCCGCCCCCACAATTAAACGCACCGTAACGTTTTTCTGTACCCAAGTATAGTAAAACGTTTCATGACCATCTAGTGCCTCTTTATACTTAAAAGTTACCATTATGTGGTGTAAAGTCGAAAATAATATTAACCATAACGCTTAATTCAATCCCCGCCCCGCATCGTAACGTTTTACAAAAGGACCCCCAAAGATTTTTCATGAAAGATTTGGCATTAGCCATTTTTGTTAGTAATAAATGTTATTAGAGGTGGTAAAACAATTTTACGGCGCCACAAACAATTCAATAAAATTTTCATGTCAAAAGACTAGTTGTCATAAAAAGATTACACAAATTCCAAACAACTTGCTTCAATAATAATGTGTTAAAATATTTTCAGCTTTTTTCTTCATGGGATCAAGACGTAGTGAACAACAACTGGTGGCGTCGCGGTACCCGAGTGGGGCATGGGGCAGGGGAGGCCGCGCGTGCCTTATGCCGAGCTGGGGACGTCTCTCTACGCTGTCTAAGGGCGGCACGGCCCTTGGCCCATCGGATGGCCATATGGACGGTTGTTGGGCCGCATTTTATGCAAGTAAGTACGACTTATTTAGTGAATTGACTAAGAATTTAGATACTTTAATTATGGTGTAACCACAAAATATTGGAATTTTGTTTTGTATATATTTCTTAATATAATACCAATTAATTAAAAATAAGCCCAATTCAGCTACTACCGACATCACTGATGACCGCCTTAATATTACCGGATTAAAACGCGATAAACACGATCAATAAACTAGTTTTAAATTCCGACAACATTTTTCCTAATATCAGATTTCAATGAAGCTTAAATGTTGCTCCTAGCTAAGCCTAATCCATTATATATGTGTATATAATATAAGAAAAAACCTTTTCATAATCTATTACGCCTAGCAAATTCTCTACATACACGCGGTTTCTAGGAATGTAGTGTTATGAATTAAATGTATAATATCGCTTTAGGCAGCCTGTCACAAAGACATCCAAATATCAAGTCTAGCAATCCAATGCCTTCACGATTGTGCAACGACTTTACTGAATCAACAAGTGGAATTACCTCATTTCCACTTCAATGAGGCCCTTTTGAAGCCATTTGAAAACCTATTGTGTCTGGAACTGTGCGATGATGATATACAGGTACGTTTCTTAATGATAAAATTGTTAAAAACGCGTTTCCGTAAAATTTTAAAGTTGAAACTGAGAAATTCCTTTATTTAATTATAATAAATTATTTTTCAATGACCAAACGTCACGCTAAACGATCACTAGTAATTGGGTTAATTATGCGGTACCGACTTATCTTAATCAATTCTAACGTTGGCTGATTAAAATTTCTGAAAATCTTATCCTTTTACCTTACTATTTTTGTAAAATCTATGCAATAATCAACAATTTTTTTTTAATATTTTGAGTAACAGTAATGAAATCGAATATATTTTAGGAACAGATAATCTCTTGCATTTGTGAATTCGTGGAAACAAACAGAATGGAAATAAGGTCTGGATGGAGACCGCTGTTCAACACACTGAGAGCGGCGAATAATTCCAACCAATATTCAGCGATTTTGGAAATATTCAAAGTGTTCCTAAACACTGACAACACTTTAGTATTCGCCAATGCAGCGCTGGACTGCATTCTCTGCCTCCTGAGTCACATTAAAGGTTTACATTATGAAGATCCACAGACTGAAGTTAAACCAAAGAAACCAATAACACCAACTCAGCCGAAACCGAGTCTAAGCCTGAAGTTCTCAAAGAACAGCAAATTTATACCCTTAAGCGAAGAGAAAACTGAAAAAGTGATTGTCGATATGTGTAGAGAGGCGCTTTACCACTTAGAAAATTGCGCTGATATTTTAACAATGATGTACAATATGCCCAAATGTCCCATCTTCAACACGGGTAACAGAATCAAAGGAGATCTCACTCTGTCCGTAGTGGACCCCATAATACCTAGTGGGTCGCTAGATGTCACTAAATATATCAGCAATGAGAATTGTAATGAAGAAGTTATTTCCTACAGAAAGCTGTCAACCACTCTTCCACCTTCTAACACCACTAACAACTGCTTATTAAAACTGGACAAACCTAGTAATATCCTCAAAGTTTGGTATGTTCTGATCGAGGGCTTGATATCAGCCACCGTTGTTTGTTCAAAGAAAAATCAACCGGCTGCGATGGAAACTTTGTTCAAATTACTAAGAAATATAGCCGACGTTCCGGGAACCCATTTCGGACTCCATTGCATAAACCACCTATTATTACCGACAGTGCAGAACTGGCTTCGGCAGATAGCGAACGTGAACACTCACTGGGACAGTATTATGCCTAACTTCAAACAGTGCTGTGGTATGACCACCGACACCGTGGTGTTTTATCTCCATAATTTACAACAAATTAATATTGAACGACCGGATGGTAAAAACGACAAAAAACACGAACCCTTCGAAAGCCCTGAAATCACGTTTGCCCTAAAGCAAATAATGTTGATCCTGGTCGAATGTATCGCCCAAGCACAAGAGCCTATAGCGAGACTCGGTGCTTCCTGCATAAGGCATATCATATTGACATCTGGTCATCTACTAACGGACAACCAGTGGGAGGTTATCTGCACTAGCTTACACAGGGCGTGTAATGTTAGCTTGAGTCCATTAAAACAGCTGACTTATGCCTTTAAAGAAAACTCCAATAGTTTTTACGGAGATTTGGCCATAGTCAAAGTTGCCGCTCGGAGGGATTGTTCCGTGAATGATAACGTCAGACTGCATGCGATGGCTCAACAAGTGTTCCTCACGGAACAGTTGAGAGGCGAAAGTAATTTGAAGCAACCGTCGAAAAATTCCAACCAAATCCTGATAGATGATAGAAGCTATATATTTTTGATTTACCTTCAAGAAGCTATGAATTGTCTAAATCCAGATTTATATACGGTGAGAATACCTAATAGAGGTCTAGTAGTGGGTCTCTTGGCTCATCAAATACTGATACAAATAATAGCTACGGTTTTGATCCAAGCGTCTTCAGATGTGTTTCAAGGGATTAATGGGATCTTACTCGAGAGCCTCAAAAGTGGTACCAACATTTGTAATTACCAATTCTTTTTAACGAAGACCAATATCGATTTACTTCTGAAAAGCTTGGAGTTGTCATATACCAGAGCTATGCAGTTTGATTCTAGACCGGGTTTAAAATTTCTGGTTCAAAAAGTTTCAAATTTAGACTACGCCGCAAATTTATACAAGCAGACATCTTCCTCTTGGCTTATTAAAATCATCGCTTTGACTGATATATTTTTTAATGGGGTTGCTATATTTAAACTTAAACCTAACGACTTGTCAATTATTCTGAAGAACTACACATCCTCCTTGAACATGACGCTGGAATACGATCAATTTGTTATGAAGATTTTTGATTTGAAGTCGACTTGGGAACTTCTATGTAGCAGTTATTTAAAACACCTTATTAATGTGTCGGATTTTGAAGATGATAATATTAAAGAACGCATTTCGGTTAGTTCCGTAGATTCTGATTCTTCATCGAATCAATATGAGGAGTTCTATTATCAAAATTCTGAAAAACAAGAACCCAATAATAAAGAACATCTAGATGTTCAAGAAGATAATGAAAAGCTCAAACCGTTTACTTTCGCTGACTTCAAAGAGGCCATAAGTGAAAGTGATACTGAAAAACTTCCAAACTTACAGAAGAGTGATAATATTGAAAACGATGATGTCAATTATGCTGATAGTCCTACCAAAGATGATCCTAAAAAAGTTATTCGCTATTCTGATGTTAGTCCAGAGAAATTTAAGACTAATTCTGACGCAGAAGTTGATAAAGGGAGAACAGTAAATATAACAATAAACGATGCCCCCATATTGGAAAAGAACAAAAACATTGAAGTAATTCTTCCTCCACAACCTGTCCCACCGGAAATAGAACAACAAAGAGCTATAAGCATTAGTAAGGTACTATATTTTATGAATTTTTTATCATTTGTAATTTCTAATCACTTGTAAAAAGAACATCCTCCTTATGAATAACTGTTGAAATTTGTTTTGTAAATGAAATGATCTATATTTTAATGAATTGGGAGATTTCGTGGATCCTTCAGCTACTAATAAAGTTTCTTTTTCAGGACATGGAGGTACAAAGGAATTGTTTCCTTAACGTTTTGATGGCGTATTTGGAACTTGTCCTGAGTTTCCCCTTGGAGAGGTTTCATCTAATATATCCAGTTCTTCAAACGGGCTTCGTGCAACTCGCTAGAACTGTCAACGATCCTCAACTACTGGATAGAATTAATGTATTTTTTGATAAAAAAGATTTGGTTGGATAAGTTATAAGTGAAAAACTATTTATCGTGATACTGTAATCACTAATTGTATATTCCTTGATCTCAGCTTAATAAACTATAATATTCCAGTTGCGTTTTATTTCTGTGATATATATATATATATAGACCCTTGGAAATCCAATATGACTGAGGGGAATGGTTGTACTATCTCGCAATTATAAGTAGGAGTTATACGAGTAATTTTAATTGAATTAACAAGATCTTTTCGCGTTTATGTTTTTGAAGTGAAACTTCTTTAGGCGGTAAAATTAAAAAAAATTTTTACAGAACATCACGAAGATGCAAATACACGCTATTGGTTGATGTATTCGTTTAGTAGTTACATATTAGAACTTTAGATGGCAATTCTGTCGCTACGTCTTGTGCAGTAAACGCAGATTTTTTATTACCATTATAAACACAAAAACATGGAGTGATCATATTCTGGTATATGATCATCTATTGGGACTTTTACCTTAGTAATAATTAATTTACAAAGAAGTTTTATAGAAATATTTGCCATTTCTTGCCTGAGCGTTTAACACCTTGAACTCATGGTAGGCTTACGATATCCAAGTCAAAATAGCCACGACGCTCCTTTATGGGCTCTTTTACAATTTAAGATAATTCCGTTATTACCGTTAATTTAATATAAGTTTATAAGAGCAATTCATTTCAGTGTTCTATGACGTGTCTAAACATGCACCTGTCTTTTGTCAAGTCGTTGGCAAAATTCTCCTTCGGGGAGTGCTAAGCTGTCTACACACCGCAGCCGCCGGCCCGCCGGCACGCACCCGGCGGGTTAATGCCGGCGGGTGAACCCGGCGGCTTTAGAAGTTGCGAGCCTGACAATTTTCCCGGCGGCACGACATACAGTCGCGGCATGCAGTGTTCACAATTAGTGATTGCCAAGTGCTTGCTAGTGACTTGTTAAATTTTTTATTTTTCTCTCCACTTCATTAACGGATTCCATAATGTTTAGTCGATAAAAACACTGACGCGTCACTTTTTCTTAAAAGCCGGTGGGCAACCGGTGGTGAAGAGCGGAGAGGGGCGTGCCGCGGGGAAGATCGCGCGGGCGCAAGCCGCCGGCAACATCGTTAAAACTAAGGCCGCCGGCCTTGCCCGCCGGGTTCGCGCGGCGGGCCGGCGGCTGCGGTGTGTAGACAGCTTTAGAATCCAATATCTAGATTATAAGTCGAAGCTACAGTTTATCGACAAGCAAAGAAAAGTTTAAGAGAAATCAGAAGTAACAAAGATAAAATAAAACAAGTAATACTCAAATTTGTTTAATAATCGCCACTATAAATATCTTTCAAAATACACAATTTTATAAACATTCGTTTCAACAAAATAACAAATTATAAACATATTTGGTATAAGGACTACTTGTCTTTTGTAAATGGTTACAAATGCTTATATCAGTCTGATAGCAATACTTATAAGTTACAGTATATTGGTATATTGTCTATATTAATATTTATTAAACATAGCTGATACAAAAAATTCCGGGTTTTTTAATTAATTCTCGAATTATTTTGCCGGACCGATTTTTGTCGGTTGACAAAAATTTAATTTATTTCTTCATTTCAGTTGATATGGGGACGAACTCCAAGTCGATTTAGTAGGTACCCTACCTATGTAAAATATGCACGCTGCAGAAGTACCCGCACTATTAAATATAAAAAAAAACTTTTAACAAGTATTTATATGAAGATACAGTTATAACTAAAATGGCACTTCGTACTTAGCACTCTTAAGCGCCTTTCGTAAAGCAAACCAAAGCATTTTTCTAGTTACAGAATCTATATTTACACATTATACATTATATTTACAAAGCGAGATTTATCTCAATACAACACTTATAAACGAAAACGCTAAGGTAACAAGAGACATGGATAATGTTCCAACTCCTTGAGTGGGAACAGTGTGAACAGTTAAAGCATACGATAATGCACTTAACCCTAAATCACTCGTTATCAACGCACTGTCCCGGTTAATGAGATCGGCGATTTTCTCAGCTTCCAAAACGCAAACCTTCAACTGCAAATCCGTCGGGTGTCTCAAAATCGATTCTACCGTCACAAATATTTCCATCTCGATAGTCAAGTACCCTCTTAACGCGCATTCTGAAACTTTGACGTGTCGCTCCAAGGACGAGAGGACATTTTTCAGATTAATGACCGAGGCAGAGATGTTCGTGCCGTAGAGCGCCCTGTCGATCTGTTTCTTTGAATATAGTATTCGGAGGGCGCCACCGCATTTTGGGCAGCAAGCCCCGGGGGCCGTGAAGCCGAGGCAGGACTGTGTTTTTAATGGCGGGCAAAGGATTCTGTCCAATTGACATTTGGGTTCCATTGCATCGGAGATGGGTCCGACCGCGAAGCAAGGGCCGAAGTAGTCTACGCTCACATATTCAGCCCAAGCCGCACATTCTGATGAGTATGTGACTCCGTTGACCCCACACACTGTGCCACTCTGCGAATGTTTAATTTATTTAATTATATAAGTATTTAAAAAGTCTGTCAAGCAGCTGTTCTTTATCTCTGCAGTGAAAACTTTTGTTATTTTAAACAAACAAAAATATAAATCAGTTACGGAGCTAACTAAGTTTAACCCAATAAAGTTTAGGGTTAGAAAATATATATTTACCGCGGAGCATCCTTGCAGACAATGTCCCCAATAGGCCAGTTTCCTCCCACTCATGACAAGATGACACGGATTCGTGTGTGTATGTCCGTCTGTGTCACACACGGGAGATGATGGCTGACTATGGCAATGGGTTATGTTCACTGAAAAATATGTGTTTTATTATTGTGCGTATTTTATATAAATACCACCAATGGTACCAATATACCAATATGGTACTCAAAGGCCCTGTGTTCAATACCGATGAATTTTTTTTTCGAGGTAAATAAATTTAAAATTTATCTCAAGCCCCACTGTGGGGTTAGAGAATGAAATTATAATATAGAGATAATACCATAGTTAAACTATAAATGTTAATACTACATACCACAAGTATATTGAGGACAATCGAGTTGCAATCGTGATAGACAAACAGAAGTAGCGGGCAGGCACACGTGTCTTCGTGGACAGGCCGCGTTGGCGCACGGCGCACGCGCACTGAACTCTATCTCACCGTCCGTTGCGCCTGCGCATCTGTATTTAGTTAAAAACTTAATTATGAATTCGAAATTTGATTGAAGTTGATTGAACTACAAGAATTCACATTAACAATGTTTCTCCTGAAGGTCGAAACATGACAGTACGAAAAATAAGTATTTTTATATAAGTTGCGTATAACGTATTCGTAGTGGTTTTCGTGAAAAGCACTTTAGTCACAATATACTATTTTCTCAAAAACTACTAAACTGATTTTGACTAAACTTTTCCTAAGCCGGAATCAAAACAAGCATTTACCTTACAAAATTGAACACCCCTCGAAAGTCAAATATATAATAATACTCTGTACTCAAATTTTATCAAATCAAATATCATCAATACAGATTAACAAGACAAACTCTTGGTGTTAAAAATCTTTAACAAACTCACTTCGCAAGACAAGCGTTGGGATAGAGCCGTCCAGGGGTAGTGACGGGCAAATGATGCGGCGGACAATTGCAAGGCAGACCCGTGAGTAGGGCCGCTCGTCCACAGGCGCGGCGGCCGCACACACGCTCGCCGCAAGCGCAGCGACACGGATTGCACTCCATGTAGTATTTCTCACCTTGAAAACAGTTTTATAATAATAATCATCTAATTCTCGATATAACTATATAATATACAGTTCAAATTTCTTATATTCATGTTTTTCTTGTTACTTAAGTTAGGATAATGATCCTAACTTCCTGCAGCACCTCCAGATTTTTTCCAAATTTCTCTAAACATGGCTTTCTTTCTCCATTCGCTTCCTGCTAACGCTTCTATCCACCTTTTTCTTGGGTGATCTCTTCTCCCCTTGGTCCTTTCCATATTTGACTTTAACTTTAACTCTATCTTTTATCTGCATCTTGCTATATGCCAAATGTCATTTCTGTTTTAGGACATTATTTTTCGCTTTTTACTTTTTGTATTCTTCTTATTTTAAGTACCCATTGCTTTCTACATGCTACACGTTTCGTTTTTATTACTGTGTCCACGTTTGGCAGCAGTTTGTGAGGCTTGGTAAGATACATGTGTCCAAGAGAGTTTTCTTTTGGTGAAGGGGAAATTCCTCTTTGAGCACGAGGGCGATAATTTGTCAACACATAGGAAATTTTTTAAAGCCATAATTTATATTAATTACTAAAGACATATACGGAGGCAAACATTACACGTATTCTAGAACGTCAATCAAACTTAAATATTTCAAGACCAATAGAATGCAATAGAATTTTTGATTTTACATACAGACATTGGTCCTGGAAATAGAGAAATAATGTTACCATAGTTACCATGTTTAACAATTTTATCGTGTAGCCGGCAATTATCCAAAGCTACGCTGGGTAGCGGTTGGCAGTTGGTGAGACCTCGGCTGGAGCATCGGCAGACTTTGATGCATACTTTCTGAGCTGCGCACGGCATCGGGACTCGAACCCACGACCCTATTGGCACTACGTACGGGCTACCGTCACCTGTAATATGATGAAACCCTCATCCATAAAAATAAATTTTAACAAAGACACTGTTACTCTGACTGTCTCTTTTTATAACAGCGTTCATACACTTTTTATAGTATAGGGGGGGCAAAGGAGCTTCTGGAACGTCCAAAAAGGAAGTTATCACAGCCCATGAACACCCATTTTAGTGTGTGCGTTGCCGGCCTTTGAGGGAGGCCTAAAAACAATATAATATATATATTTTTTGAAATCAAACAAACCTAAAGGACATCCTTCAACACAGGTGTATCGTGCGCAGGAGTCGCTCGAGACACAACTTCTGTTGAGCGCACACACTTGTGAGGAATTACACGGTGCGCCTGCGCACGGAGACCGCACTGCTTCACCCGCTGATAGTAAGGGAGGTTCTTGACCTGAAACGATTGACTATTATCCTACGTATACGGACCAGTTACGATTAATATATAATAGTGAGTCTCGGGTTCGATTGCATTAAATAAATGCTGCTTCTATAGGTTTAGTGTTATTATTTGAAGCTTCTGCTAGCATCGCTAAGAAGAAAATTGTATTAAAAAAATATTACAAATTTTAATTTATGCTTATTCTTAACGAATTTCAAAAAATTATTACTATTTGACCTGTATAATATATCTGATATTGTTGGAATAGGAAATTTTACAATGTAATGTAATGTAATCTATGTAAGCATATATATAATGAAAATGACTTGTATGTGTACAATACTGCTGAGTGAAAATAATATAATATAATTACTGGGCGCCATGAAGTCCGTGAGAGAAACACAAGGTGCGTTCTCGTGTCTTGGAGCGAGTCTCGCGCAAAGGGCGGGCGCAGACAAGGGCGCGCGAGACCATTCAACACACGACGAGACTAACTTCAGACAGTCGTCCATACATAGGAGGCTGCTATGACCCTGGATATTTACAATGCTTATATAATTAAAGACATAAAATATCGCCATAAAATACCTAAAGATATATGTCGCAATGTTTAAGATAAAGATCACGTTTGTCCCTTTTCATCACAGCGTGAAGACAATTTGGCAGAAAGAGACTAAAGAGTACTTTAGTTACATTGCAAATAGATTAGCATTTCCTACTATAAATCGATTGAAGTCGATCTTGATTAAAGGCTAGCAACGCACTTGCAACACACCCTCTGGCATTGAGTGTCCATGAGCGGCGGTATCACTTAACATCAGGGGAGCCTGACCCGTAAATTCTATAAAAGAATGTCCTTAGCCCGAATTCCTAAACTTAGAGTGGAAAAAATTGGTTTGACAGCTCTTGATACTAGATTTCATTAGACTGCTTTGACAGCACCTTTTATTGCCAGTGAAAATCTTAATAATTTTTAATCAAATATATACCAGTAAACCTGTGTTTTATTTAATACCTTGGCTGTACACGGTTTAACGTGCAGTGCGCAGGCGACGCTCTTCCAAACGTCCGCCGTACACTGAGATGAATTTTTTTAAGGGCAACTGGACTCCTGCTACTGTTACATACCTGAAATAAAATATTCGTATTTTTATATGTACATATGTATAGTACAATATTAAACGTAAATATATCATGTTCTTAATTTAAAATTGAAAACTGTTCTACGAGTCACGTGGTTTAAGGATTAAAAGTAAACTTAGTTAAATTTCAAAATACAAAATTGCAATAATTAATAAATTAATGATAAACGAAACGAAATAATACAATGCACTGACAACAACTTCATGGACAAATCCATTTTTTTTTATAATAAGGAAAAAAAAGCGAAAATAAGGAAGATTTTTAACCATATTAAAAAAAATATTTAAAAATATTCACAGACCTAAAAAATTCTGACTAATAATGTCTTAGTCAAATTAAACAGTAGGTATGTGATGTCAGACTCAAAGTATCATTAGTGGCCACCTGGGAAGAACGATGATTAAGAAATGATCACTCCACCGAAAATTTCCAAAGCAATAAATGTTTCTTGGTTATTTTGAGATGCTTAAATGACAACTTTTACCCAGATCCCTTCTGTTCAGCCACAGCCAAGTGCGCATCAAGGTCTGCCTGAGCGGAACAAGACCGAAACAAAGTAGCTGGTCGGTTGTTCAGCTGACTGCAGTATGTCAGACCCGCACAACCCAGCGAGCATGGGGCTTCAACTAAAAATAAAAAACCGCCTTTAAAAAAGAGGTTCAATATTCGTAGAACCTTCCATACCTGAATGAAAATTTTCTAATCTTACAAGTTCACTAGAGAGCACACATTACGCACTAGATAACGCAGGCGCATTGTGAGACTAGGTAGGACGGTAAAGGAAAGAACTATCTTTAGGTGGCATCTCATAGGCGCTTGTGAGTGTTTTAACACTATCATTCAAATGGATTGTATGGAAATGGTCACGAGGTTAATATTCTAGCTACGTATCTATTCTCTATAATATATAACTCACCTTCTTCGATACACTCAGCCAATTCTGTCTCTTGAGGGTCACCCAAACATTCCGTATAAAATTTCTGCCAATTGTTTTGCCATCCCGAGTTGAATGTATTGAAGCACAGTCTTCTGCAATTTATTGTTGCTCCCTGAAATGTAATTAGTACTTGTATTAATTTATTGTTGTACTTTTCGGTATAATTTTGTATCCTAACTATTAGTGATAATATTTATAAAACTTAAGTCGTTCTGAAAAGAATATTGATATTTCATCAATAAATATATATAATTCAGTTAAATTAGATTTAGTTTTCTAAATTTAATGCGCGAAAAACCATCCGTGTATTACAGCGTATTAAAGAAAATCTACATATTAAACGTAACATAAAATACGGAAAATAATTGACGCCTGCGATACAAGACTGCCCTTGTAATGAGCAATCAGCAATACAACTTTTTACGCTTGTCTAATTAGCCAATGGATGGCAGGATTACATTTTTGTTTAAATTATAAATTATGACAATAATTATTGTTTATTCATATTATGTTACGTAACTTTTAGTTTTTGGCATTTCTCTGCGCCTATTACATTCAGCGATCATATATATCTTCTTTTTTTATTAAATAACGATTACTTCAAGAACTTTAAGAATAATTGTCTTTGATTTACATAACCTTTACACATTTAAAGAAAAATTACTTTTTGACAGCAATGCAACTTGGCAACATCATGTGGAATAACATCTTTGGTGTCTGGAGGAGCGTCCTTTCTTAGGAAGCATTGCCACATGTTGTCATGAATGGCGGGTGCCCCACATTCTTGTGAAAGGGCCTCGGCTATTTCCTGGGACTCACCGGTCCTTCGAAGCACGGATTCGCAAGTACTTCTGCATTCTGTACTTGGAGACTCGTGGCAGCATGGCAGATCTGAAATATTTATGTTATCCCTAAATTAAAATTAAATTAATTAGTAGCTGAAAGTAATAATTATAATAATGACGTGGTAAATATTTTTATGAGTCAAACCGTACTTATTTACTTTAAACCGCGGTAGGTACTACTCGTATAATTCAGCTAGGTGTGTCAAATATATTAAATAGTCTGCTATCTCATGCATACCCTGGAGAGCTGATTGTGAAGTTGGAGCTGAAGTTGAAAACTAAATTTTTATGAAAATATTTCGATACCAACTGTCATTTTAATTTAGAACAAATTTAGTTTTCAACTTTCTTCATACACTAGTGTTAAGGGATCTCGACTAAGCCCCTTGATAGCGGAAATGTGTATCAGGCTGAATAAGTGTGAAAGACTTACATCAGCGGAACTTGAACAATTTTGAAAGATATTATACCAAAGATTTACCACACTAATTTCAGAAATAGACCACTCAGACGCGTAAGGGACAAAGTGACATCTCCGAAGAGACGTGGCGCACTATTAAACAAAGAAAAGAGGTTCTTAAAGGTAGTGCTGATCCTAACAGTACTCAATACCAAAGCTTCCACAAGAGTGCAAGGTCTATGTAGGAGGAATAAAAACGTCACTAGTGTTGAAAAACTTGAACTTGGAGAAGCTTGTGAAGAAATGGTGATCCCCTACTAGCTGGACCTACCAAGTTAAGGTCCTTACAGGCCTTAGTAGTACAGAGGCGCTGTGACGTGCCAAATACAAGAGGGAATGAAGGAAGATATGTATGTATGAAGAGCGCGCTAAAGTAGAAAAGATACGTAATTCGTACCTCTTCTTCGTATAGCGTAATTCTTATCAATCACATGTCGCTCCTAGGTGTAGATATCCTATATGTAGAGAAAGCTATTAAAGCAACCACCATCTCAATTGCAATAAGATAATGTAAATAAATATTAATTAACACAAACCTAACAAAAGCTTTAATAGTAGGAGTAATTTGTGGAATTTGACCATACTAAATTTGGTTTTGTTTCTTCGTCATTAGTAATAGAGATCTTAAGTTTATAAATGCTTTGACTAACGAAGAACGGTTACCAAAGTACCGTAATATTATTAATATTTATATGAGAAATGAAATTTGCGTCAATTTGTTGATGAGGTTCATTACTAATAACAAAAGGTAGTATTTAACCTTATAAGCTGGAAAGTACTTACACTTAGAGGTATCAGTATGTACAGTTGATGCTGTTAATTCTGAGAGGCATCGTAACAGTGGTGGCGATTGATCACAAGCTTGAACAGCGCGGTCACGGTCCGAAACGTTGGCCCGTGTCTGACCCACACGCCATAAAGCGCGAGAGCAATCTTCATGACAGCTTAGTGATTGGGTTTGAGCTGTTAAAGATATAACGTCACTGTAGAATGATAACCTCGTATTTCAAAAAAACTTTTTTTTTTATTCTTAGACTCTTATGTCATTTAACTGGTATAATCATGAAGTAGGGACTTATTTTTGTTATAAATAAATAAGTCCTTTTTACCAACTAAAACTATGGTCAAAAACACATAATAATATTTTATCGAACATTGACGAAATGATTTTTTTTTTCTTTTCCTGTAATGTTTGGTTCTCTGGACATACGAGGTTATCATTCTACAGCGACGATAACGTGTATATTTGTTGTTAGCTGGTGACCTGTCATCACAGGACTTCTATAGTCCTATTATAGGCACCAGCCTCTCACAAAGAAGGTCAATATGTAAACTTGTAAAATGCAATACTGTGAAGAGGCAAATTAACTTTATTATTATTAAGTAAATATAGGCATTCGAACAAATTGTTTAGCGTCAGAGTATATCGTTAACCTACTACTCGCAATTAAAATAAACTGGGCCTAGTAAAATAAAACGTTTGTAAGCTGCAGACCAAAGCCATGTCATATTCAGAACCATTCACCGGACTCTAAACCGTATAAACAATTCTACCAATGACTTCTATAAAGAAAGTAGAATCGGTACAAATTTTCAAACATATTATAAAAAATCTTATAAAATAAAATGTATATATGGCGAAATCTACGAATAAGCATTAGACTTACAACAACACCACTGAGCCTCTTGTTGCTTCTGTACGCAATCGAAAAACGCAATTTCATCTGAGCGCCGACAGGCAGTGGACAGAGATCTGGCATCAGAAACTGTGGCGCAGGCGCGACGGCACGAGGGCGAATGGCCTAAGGAACAGCACGCACGGCCCCACCATCCAGATCCTGACACCACCTCTGAAAGAATTGCATTATTGCGTATCAAACACAAACATTACAAACAATCCAACTAAATCCTGTAAGCCTTATCCCTATGTTCACACAGCAACAAAAAAAATTAAGGCAACAGCTTACAGCTTTCTTAAGATTAATAATGATAATAATAATCCAGTGGTGCTACAACTCTAAATGGGCCTTGGCCTCAGATTTCATTCGTTTCTTCAATCCTCTTTATTTTAAAGACTAGTACGTGCACAGCCTTTTGTTTTTCGGCTTCCTCACGATGTTGGCCTTAACCGTATAAGCAAGTGCTAATTGCACTCATAGAAAGACAATTCACAGCCGTGAATCGAACTTAGGACCTCAGGCAAGAGGGTCGCACGCTTAAGCCACTAGGCCAACACTGTTCTTTGTTAAGATAAATATTACCATACTGTGCAATATTTTAAGAAATACCTTGATCTAACCTTGATTTTAAAGTTAACAGTTAAAAGAATATGTTAATTATATAAAAAAGTGGAATAACGTGTGCTAAAAGAATGCAGCCATTGGTTTGACATTACAAGCATTTGAAATTATAAGTAGATTATGATATTACATATTTTTTGTAATTTATTTGAACAATTTTAAATTGAATTGTAATTTTCCTTAGGTATTAAAAACTATAGCCTATCCAAAACTCACCTTGTATTGTTTGGTTCATGCATATCCAGAAGTCTATCTGTAAAAAAAGGCTTTTATCAGATGTAACTCGATATAGGCGTATTCTAAGACATGTGTAAGCCGCCCCAATTACAATACAATGCGCATAGGCGGTTTATTGACGATAAAGGAAGTTTGAAGACAATATGCTAAGACATATTATACCGCATTCGGAATGAGTTATCTCACATTACATTGTAAGGGAATTATTCTTTTACAGAACTTGTTGATGTCCCTCGACGGTAGAATAGGAGAAATGATAAACTTTATAATAATTTGAGATTTAAAGATTTAAACAAAATGAATAAAAAAATCAGTGGCACTACAACTTTTTTTGTATCTGTTTAACTGTTTCAAGATCATTTGTCTAATAGGCAAATAGGTGATCACCTCCAGCCTCCTGTGACTGACACACGCCGTCGATTTTGGGTCCAAATCAAGCCGGTTTCCTCACGATGTTTTCCTTAACCGTTCGAGCGAATGTTAAATGCGCACATAGATAGGTAGTCCATTGGTGCACAGCCGGGGATCGAACCCACGACCTCAGGGATAAGAGTCGCACGTTGAAGCCACTAGGCCACTGCTCAGAATATCATCATCAGATTTAAAAGTCTTTTATCTATTAGTCATAGTAGTAATAGAATCAAAAATAACATACCAGTTGCGGCGTACAAAACTTATAAATATTTTGGATTCTTTCTTCCCTCATAGCGGAGTCCGATGCAATTTCCACCAGCGACATCTGTAAAATAAGATATCAGATGTTATTCATGATATCCAGAAACATCTAAAAGAAATACATATCTAGACTATGGCAGGTTATATTCAGTTACGAATGAGCATAAGGAAACACTAACATTGCAATGATCAGATTATCTGTTAAAAGAAATGTCACCTGTCACCGCCTCTTATAATAAATGTTTGAGGTAGAAGCTATAGTAATCCGTTCCCATGTGTCACACTCTCCTTTCTATCTTCAGTAGCGGCCTCCGTCACTTACTATAGATTGTAGATAATAATAATAAAAGCCTTTATTGCTGTAATTACTTATATTAGTACATAAACATGAGAAATACTAAAAAATTAACACTAAAAATATAAAAAAATACTAATAATTAATCAGCAAGCCGGTTGATTTCTGTTATACAGCTTGTCCTTGGACATAGGCCTCCTCTAAGGACTTCCGCTCATCTCTGTTTCTAGCTTTACGTAGCCATATAGGGCCAGCTACTCTTCCCACATTCTAACAAAGATTGTAGATTACTACAACTTTATCTTAGCTCAAAGACTTTTACCATAGGAACTTTATACATAAGGTAAGGACACGAAGGCGAAAATTTTTAATTTTCTGCAAAATCTGCGACATCAAATCTTGTAATAATAGATCATATACTCTACGTGATTATACTAAGCGTATTAGCACTTTGCAATAGTTTGTTGATTTAGTTGTAACTAAACTCATACATGTAAGTAGGTTAATGGAGGATATGAAGCTGAGATCAGAAATCTAAATCACATAGTAGATATTGTAAAGCTTAGTGTACACGGATTATGTAGTCTAGCCCTCGAAAATTATGGTTAAAACTAGGTTAGTTTATTTTGAAATATCCTTTTTTTCTATAGATAACAATATCTATCAAAATTGGTTGACAGTTTGAAGGGCACTAGGTGACATTAAACAAAAGAACTGATTTTCCTGAACTGATAAAGAGATATCACACAAGTTTAACCATATTATGAAGCGAACTGATTCTTTTTTTCTATAAATCAGGAGTCACACGGGCAGGAAGTTCCTTTGATGTTAAGTGATACCGTCGCCCATGGATACTCACACTGGCAGAAGGCTCGCAAGTGCGTTGCTGACTTTTAGGAATTGGTTTGCTCTTATCTTGAAAGTAAAAAAAAACTGTTTCGTTTAAAATATATCTGTGTGCTCTGTGTATTCTAACCAATAGTATTATTTATTCTAAAAGCTTCATCTTAACTCATGCTACATTTAGCAATAAGTAATCTATATAAAATATAACTCTTGCGCAATAAATCACGCAAGATACTTAGAAACTGTAATAAAACTTTCGTAATGTGTTTAGGGCGATATAAACACATGTTAGAATGTTATTGACGCGTTATAGTATTAATGTAACACATTATAGTAATTAAAAGAAGACGTACTAATTCACATTGACGGATATATTTTGGAAATCAATCAAATGTGCGAAATAGACTTAAAGTGATTTCTAGAACTTCGTTATATTTTGTTTTTATATAGAACAAGGGGCAAACGGGCCTCATGCTCATCTGATGTTAAGTGACAGTCCTCCCATATGCTCGCGAGTGCGTTGCTGGCCTCTTAGGAATTAGTACGCTCTTTTCTTGAAGAACCCTAAGTGAAATTGGTTCGGAAATACTTCAGTGGGCAACTGGTTTCACTTAGTGGTGGTGCGCGGCAAAAACTGCCTTAAAAACGCCCAGTTGTGGATCGACGGACTTCGACGGACTTCGTGATACGGGTGAAATATCGTATTCAGCCTCGACGACCGATAATGAAACTCAGCTACATATATTAATCTGAACAACTCCTCTGAACACTCTCCATGAAATCTCTTTATATCTTATAACTATGATGTAAGAAACAGATTAGAATACAGAATCGATATTAAATTAATGTTGATGTGTTTCTCTTAATTGTTATTGGTCAACAGTCCTAGACCATCACAGCACACGATCCGTTTGACCAATCACAAACAAGCAATTCGCATCACTTCCGTCTGTCGATGTTCAATCTAACTTCCGTAATAATTATATGTATAAATATTGAATAAAAAAGATAGAACAATTTTTTTTTAATTTCAGGACTAAGTATTTATAGAATGTATAAAACAAATGAATAGCTGATACATTAATGTTTCACTCGACTATTACACTAATATAATAATAATTAGCATTTTTACATACGAAATTAAAGACAATTACATAAGATACACCGCTACAAACGTTAAACGCGGTCATAACAATTAAACTAATAAACCCTTGTTAATTGAACATCGGATGTAGGCCGTAAACTGCTTGTGTCCCTTTTAAAATATCTAATTACAATAAAACGTTCTTATTTTGACTTTAATTAGTAACACACGTGTCGCGTTGTATGTAATTTGGTGTTGATGCATGTGTTAGTAATTAGTGTCAGCAAACTTAATCCTTATGATGTAAATGCGAAAGACGGGTTCGCCGTGCCAATTCTAATAAATTTTTGTATACTTCGCGGATATATTTTCCTTTTTTGTAACATTCTTTAGCAACCATGTGTAAAATGTAAATTCTCAAGTTTTATTTACCACCACTATGTTTAGTTTATTGCCAGTTCTTCTCTTCCGTTCTAAGCCCTTGATTTGAGAACTGGCAGTAAATGTAAAATTAGAAGCATTTAATGTATATTTCTTTTTTGACGTTCATAAGTGTACATTGTGTTACCTATATGAATAAATGATTATTATATTATTGACTTTTGAGTCAAAAGTCATAATAATTTGCGTGTAACGCAGATCTAGGGTTCGATTACCAGCAAAACCATGAAAATCACATAGTAGTAATGTAAAGCTATTTTCTAAGATTTTTCTACAGTTATCTAGCTCGTAATTTTATTTGCAAGTAGTTCAAAGTAGTTTGATTAATTTTTAAATATAATTTTTAGATACATTTTTATTTTTTATTACTTAAAGATAACGATATCCGTGATGGTAGACACAGCGGGCTGAAACTTGCGCTATCCTGTCTATCGCTACCACATCAGGAGGGCTTAAGATAAAGGTTTTTATAAAGACTAGATTGAACTACGTTTTAAACAAGCATTCCCTACACAATAGCCACGACATAACTCATGCGCGTGCGTCACATATTAGATGCAAAACTTATTATTCACCGCGTACAAAACATTTCCCTATAAATGCATCAGTATTCAATGCGACAATGATTTAACGATGCACAGGCGTTGCATCTTATCTAATAAAGGTTATCACAAACGATGCACGTCAAAGTGATTTTTTAACGGCCTACGATGTATGTTAATTGTTTAGGGCGACCGTAATATAGGAACTCTGAGTAAAATCAGTTCATTCACCAGCTTCACCAGTCATCTCTTACAATACACACATGTATTGTTTTTTTTTCAATCAAGCTTCAGGAGCTTTCTTTATACTTGTGATTGTTAGTTAACACTACTTGTGGTGACTGGTCGGACTTGAATTCGTGTATGCGGTGATGTTCGTTATTTCGACTATGTATTTGCGTGTTGTTCCCACAAGAACGTAAGTGCGTGCTGCTATTTCACCATGCCTCCTGCTGATAGAGGACAAATCTTTGTTTTTAATTTATTTTATTATTATTAATTAACTATTAATTACTTAAGATGTCATGTGGAACTGTAGTGGTGGAGAATTTATTGCCAGTTCTTCTCTTCCGTTCTACGTCCTTGATTTGAGAACTGGCAGTAAATGTAAGATTAGAAGCATTTAATATGTATTTCTTTTTTGACGTTCATAAGTGTACATATTTGAAGAAGTGTACAAATAATTTTGATTTAATTTGATTACAAATTTTGGTAAATAGCAGGCATCCCAACATCCCATTTGTCCCTCGTTTCACAAGAACTAGTTTTGGCCAAAACACAGATATCCATATTGAGTATTCTGAGTAACGAGCTAGGTCTGTATATCTCCCCCTAGTTGTTCCCCTCACACTTTGAAATACATTTTCCTTTAGTTTTTATTATTCACTAATGTATCAGTTTGCCGAGCATTGGCAAGCTTTTATAAATAAAATAAGAAACAGAAATTGATAAAACTATAGAAAAGACTGCCCTAATTCCAGGCAGACAAAGACGCTGTGAGCCGCTAGTATCACGTATTAATAGATAGATAGTAAGGTTATCGAATGCACTTTGAAGTTCCCAAATTGTTTCAACTTCCTACATAGCTTTCGTCGCGTTTTGTGTGATTTATATGTTTTGACAACACTTTTAGCTCGGGTATTTGTCTGATCTCAAAATATATGTCAGATTAATGTCTGAGATGACAAATTGTAATAAACTATGACAGTAATATTTATTTAAATACGGGCTAATGGTCGCGACTTTGTGTAAAATAAAGAAAAGTATTGCCTTAATGTTCTGTGTACTGAGATATATTATATCCTTAATTAAATTAAATTATCCGCTACAAACATTGAGGTCTGGGCCTCAGATTTCTTTATCTGTTTCGTGATCGTGCCTTGGCTTTCTGTGCCTGACACACGCAGTCAACTGTCTTGTTTTCTCACGATGTTTTCCTTCACAGTACGTGCGAGTTTTAAATGCGCCCATAGACCGAAAGTCCATTGATGCACATCCAGGTTCTGAATGTCAGGAATATGAGTCACATGCTAAAGCCAAATAACACTTAAGAGCATCTTTATTATTGTATGTTGGTGGTCAACCTTCTTTGACTTCTTAACTAAAATCGTTAGAAAAGAATATAAACAAGTAAATTGGAATTCATATTTAAAGCTGCGGTATATAATAATTTCCTTAATATAATAAACAGCTTTGTCAATGAACTAAGCACTATATATAACGAAATTACTAGATTCGTATAAAGATAATTAAAATTCATTGAAACATAAAAGCCTAGCATCATAAATAAGACCGAGAATAATCAACTTGAATCATTTGCAAAATAATGCTGTCATCACCCATTAAACATTACTTAG